GTTATCATGAGAAGTGTATTGCTACTTGTACAGATGCGACTACCAATGATAATAGCATTGGTAGTACGGCGGGTAATAGTGATCTATGGAAGTTAAAGGACGCTCATCGTCGTCGAAATGATCGTACGTTACGCTTGCATACTGCCACCCAAGCTAAGAAGCATAAGAAACAACATGATGCTACCAATATTAAGAAGTGTAAACTTCGTTCTCTTTCGGATGCTACGACTAGCTATGGAAATAGTAGCCAGCAGAACCTTAGTAGTGACAGTGATAAGAAGGAGATAGAAGGTGTCAGCAGTCCACTTATAGGGACTAGTTTATCAACTTCATCGAATGAGCCTCCTAGTGTTTCGACGCCATCGGACCTCGTCACGAAGGTTAAGTTGATTGAAGATGCACAAGGTTGTGCAACTGTAACTGTTCCTATCCCGGTTGACTGTCAGTCGAGTGATGATGAGAAGAAAGTGTTTGATGGTAACAGCCAGTCTACAGTGCTGTGTGATGACGATGCTATTGTTGAGCATATGTCTTGTGCCGCTGAAACGGATGCTAATGCAGAACGGAATCACTTAGACGTTGATAATAAACTGGATGTCACTGATGTGACAAATGAGTTACCGACGATGATGAATACTGTTCAAACCTCCTCTGCATCAGGAGATGGAAGGATAAATATTGATCCTACGTCATGCTACTTAAGGTCTTCTGGAGACGATGAAATGTCAAAATTGGAGATCCCACCCTTGCATATTAGTTATGGGTCAAAAACTTCTGTTGATAAGTTAGCATCACGGACTTCATGGTATCTGCTGATCAGAGCAAGTGGTGGTGGATTGGCGACTCGTCCCCACGATAGAGAACGTAGTCCTTGGATAGGATATGACCAGTTTTACGACGTGTTGCACATGTTCGTGTGGGTTAATTGCATAAGGTTTATACTACCGTTAGGTCATGCTACGATAGATAGGGGAATCAAGGACCTGGTATCTAAGGTACAGGTACATAGTTAGTTTGATAGGTCATATCCATGTTGGAGGGCGGGTAGGCGTACTGCTGTAAGTCCTACTCGTTCTTCCGGTGTGGATTAGGGGATGAGAGTGAACCGTAAATTGAAGTGTTAGAAAGGGCTTGTTTTGCTTAGAGGGATATTGTGGGCCGGTGTAGAATTTATATTGAATGTTTGTTGTTGATTGCTTGTGATGCACATACTTGAATTGTTGTTATATATTCTTGTCGGTGAAAAGAACCAAGGTTCTTTTGGTCGGGAGTGTTACGGGAGAAACGAAGACATTTTGCTGATTAAAACCTTCATGTATAAATATCATTAATTTCACTGTTTTTGGGTACATTTGTTTTACTTAACTTGTGAACTTGTTTGAATTATTATTTGCGGACATATTGGACTCCCGTTTCTCTTTGTTGTTCGTTGCAGTTTTTTGCTCCAAGAGATAATAAATTAGAAGGTAATTGTAATTATTATAATTATTGTTGTTAGAACGACATTGGTCGTCTATTTGTAATAAATTATTTTGGTCGAATTTGTGATTTGGAATAAACTTTGGTATCTACTTTGGAGTTTCGTTCTTGGTATAGAAATTTGGGACCGTGAATTACAGATAGACGACAACAGTGCTTCATAAGATCAACGAGCAAAAAACTGGACGTAACACTAAGTTCCTGTGCCGGAGAGGGAGAGAGAATAAAGAAATTTAAGAAATTCATATACGTCAGGAGCCACTATTTGTCACTGCATAATGTCGATCTCTAAGTTTTAACAGATGGAATTGAAACCCGGAGGAAGACATTTTACATATCGTATCGAGTTTTGATGGCTTCGCATACGAATAAAGAAGCTTCAGAATATTCTGAAAGAATGGCAAACAAGAGTAACAGACTGTCAGGTAAATCAATCTTATTCAGATACTACATAAAGTCTATTAGTAAGGATGAAAAATGTTCACTTCTGTGAAGTTATATAGGTGTATGAAAATAGTCATTAGTCGTGTTCATTTCCTTCTTAATATGACCCAGTTATTGATGCCTAATGATCAAAAATTTATTGATTTATATCATCTTTTAGTGGTTGCCGAGTTGAGATTGACTATGATCACCACTAAATGTTCCAAACTGTCCCGTCACGTAATATAGAAATAAATCCATGTTCGAATATTAATTGGAGAAATTAGGCATTACATAGAGAGCCGCATGTTGTGAAAAATGGCAGCAACGCGAAAAGGACGTTACGCGCAAGAAAGTGTTTTTGGTACAGTTAAACAAAACGAGTTCAATAATAAATGTTTATTTTTCACCAATCGCTACAGCATGCCCCCTAGAAAGGGTTTATGCTTTCAATACACAGCGGCTGCATTCGTGGGGGCTGCTCGTCCAACGTTCGGTTGTAGGGCGGAAGGGTTGACGAACAGTAAGCGGCCAAAGGGGCTCGCGTTGTCACTGAGAGGTTTTCCGCTGCAGTGCCAAGTTTGTCTCTCGGGTTGGCATGCCACACCAGCGTGGCTCGTATCCAGAGTCTGAAGATTGCGTTTGTAGGGGTCAGGACCCGAAAAAGCTGCAGACGTAGGACGGAATCAGATTGACCCAGAAACGATCAGTGCGAAACCATTCTTAACCAGAACAGCGACTGAGTGCATTGACAAGAGCGTGTGTGATCAGGCCAGCTTTCGCCAAGGTTGACTGAAGTCGACGGTACCAACAGGGCGATGGCCAGAGGCGTGGGCTCAGGATAAAAAAATCAAAGAGAAAGAGAAAAGTGTAGCATGCAGGTAGTATGGGGATAAAATCCTATACCGTACACGTGGTTGATTGGCAGTTACTCAAGAAAGCGTACAGGTAGTCGTACGCGGCGACCGGGACGAGAGACGGTAGACTCGTGCGTACCTCGTGAGCCTGCAATCTCATCCGAAGTCAAAGGCGACGTGGTCTGCTGACCTGGACGTCAGACCGGAGTCTCATCCGTATATAATGCAGATGACGCGTGCTGTTGACTGGGACGTGAGAATGAGGTCTTTGGTTTATCTAACGTGGGATCAGAAGGAGAAATAAGGATCCCGCTAGTGAGTTGGACGAGTACAGCATTAAACCTCGATTTAACAGGTAGGGCACTGTCATTGACGTGGGCCGGTATGAGACGATCAATGCTGACTGTGTCTATCAACCTTGAAGGTCTTTTCGTGACAAGAGATCACGTGAAAAGATCCTTCGTAAGGTTGTTGAGTACCGAATCTACTAGTAAGAAAACTTGCGGACAGGTAAAGAACTCTCGAGGGAGAGTGAACCGTCGATGTTATATTCGAGTTTACACCTGAGGCAGTATTCGCATCTACGCAGATAGTCGTTGGACGTTATCTGATATACATAAAATCGCTGCTCTGTGGTGTGAAAAAAGTCAACTTTTAATAAAATGGATTTACTTATTGAGTGAGACTATATATATATTAAGTGATATACGGATACAAAAAATGTCATTAAATATGAAGCAGGGAACTTATGGTAGTTGAAAATATCCCTTGAACGGTGACGCACTTTTTAAAGTATTCTTTAAAAAGAACTCCGCACGGTTAATGAAACACTCTCCAGAGAACCACATTGTCAGAACAGTTCTGAATGGATTTCAGCCTATAACAGGTTGTTCACTGTGACTTTAGTCCAAGAAGATAGTCAAATTTCCAATTTTTTACATCCTTCACATTCATTCATTTCACAAGAAATGAGAAAACTGTCTTCTACCCAGTGCTTTTGTAAGAAATTATTACATTGCTTTGTTTGTATGCACCAATGGTTCCTTTGCACATTAATTTGAGTCTAGCTGTACTACAAAATACAATAATATCAAATATGCTTACACAGTTCCCTATGACTTCAGTACTGATCACACATGACTGATAAAGTATAAAATGGATAGTTCTGTGCATTACCAGGTAGCATACATAATTGAGTTAGTCTTATTCATCACACACATTTAACCATCAGGATCAAATATTTCATCAAGCCTTGTGAATGCTAATGTGTCGAGTGATGCTTCGGTTAATTTATGGACATCATCTACAAGTCATGATTCTGCTTCAAGTCTTTTTATTACATTGGCTAAAGTAGTTACAACTTCTCAGACAGACTGTAAGGACTAGAAAAATCTAGAGGATCCTATCAAGAAAGTAGTTGAAGATAAACGGAAAGAAACGTTAACTTTAGCGGAAGTCGACCTAGTTGTTGGTGAAAGAGAAATACCAGCCATTAGACAGCACTGCCGAGTTCATATTTCCGATGCTAATAAACAAAAGTGGAATAATCTTGGACCTTTTCATTTCCATTTAAATGATATGCACAACAACAGTGCTGAAAAGAATAACGAATCTCCCTGCAGGTCGTGGATAGTAGTGCGTTTAGTTTCTACACACAGACTGTTGATTATTACACTCATTTGGTTACAAATACCTGCTGCTCTAGTTGACTCACGAACTTTGAGGATAGGTGCATTTAACGAGGAAGATCATACTGAAGGAAACATTACCGTATACGAGTCTAACAAGATGAGTAGACGAAAGCTGGCGATAGAGTGGAATGCTTCAAAAGTTCTTAAAATGTCTTCTAGAAACAAAAAGTGTTCATAGATTATATTTTATGTATCTAATGGTTAATTATAGAAAATGCTATGTTTGGACTAGTCCAGTTTAGCGCAAATATGGGAGATGAATAATATAAGTTTGAGACAGAGTCCGAACCTCATTGAACTAACGAAGTCTTTTATGGGGTAGATTATATTCAAGAAGTCATACAGCCCGTTGGTGTGTTATGTCTTCACTGGGGTGTTTCAGAAGAGAAGCATTATAGATAAATTGCCAGGTGTCGGAAATTTTCTTTTATCTGTGTAAAACAAAATGATATAATAACGCAGTTCAAAACAATTACTGAAGAAATAAAATGGTTTTCGATATTTTTCGTTGAGGATTGGATTTTAATAATAAATGCATTCTAGCGGTTGATTTCAGTGTTGCGTTACCTTGCCTCGAAAATGTAAAACACTATTGCAAAAGCCTCTTCACTACAGTTATTTAAGGGCATAACTAGGTTAGTGTTTATTTTTTACTCTTCTAAGGTATAGATATTAGAGGCAGTGTTTAGAACTTCCTTTAAGCTTATAGTAAATGTTACATACAAAAATATCATCTAGTTAACACTAAAATCTAGGCTTGTCAGTCTTCGTAATAAAAATAAAAACCTCTGAAAGGAACAATAACAGATACATTCGCAACAATGTTTCATAGTTTAGCTCTATATTGCTCCAGGAATACTTAAAGACAGTTTTGATAACACTTGTTACCAAGTTTTGATGATCTTGATCTTAATCTGTTGGTGGTGTTCTAGGCTTCTACAGTTAACAGTTTTTATCAAATCCTAATGTCAAGCTCACTCAGCAAGTTAATTTCAACAAACTGGACTATATTTTTGATATTTTTGGTCTTATGTTCGATCATAATAATTGGTTTAGTATTAGCCTTTACTAGTCAACAGCTAATCATATTTTCAAAAAATTGAGTTTAATTTATCGCCTTACTGTCTATAAAGGCTTGTTAATACTAGTTTTTAAATATTCGTGCTATATCGGAGTGTTCTTTGTTTGTAATCTGATGACGATTTAGTGTAAAACTTAGACATTCGTTATAAAATTTGCCACAAGAAATCTCCGGGTATTACATTTTCTCATCAAAAACACGAAAACAATGTGATAGAATTTTGCATAATTTAGTTATTCACTGAATGAAATATGGTAATACGCCCTGAACGTTATTTCGAGAATTAATTCTAATAGTTAAACATGATCATTCCTATTTTATTGGTAAAATGTGATAGTTGGTTGTTTGGTTGAGAGAATAACAAGTACTTCTAGTCCTAATTTTTTATGAAATTAGGTTACTTATAAACAAAGTAGAATCTGATGCTTGTGAATCGGCCCATTAATTAAGTGATCAAGATTAATTCCCAAATAGTATAAATGGTAGTAATATAGGGACAATTTGAAAAACACCAGGTATCAAAAATATGATATGAGAGTGAAAAAATTTGTGGGATGAAGGTTATGAAATGAATTTGGAGCCGATAATTTTAGGGAAAACGAAGAATGCGGACATCAGGATGAGGAAAGCATTACCTCTGGAGAAACGTTTCATCAAATTGAATAAAAATGGGGATAGTCAGTATTCCTAAGGAACATTACTTGAAGTTAACGATTCCAGTAATAGACGTCCATAACCTTTATTCGACTAGTATTCAAAAAAATCATTCTCATGGTTCATTTACTTAGTTGGCACACCTTTTAATAACACTTATAGTACTTATTAGTCAGGTGAAACCATTGAGTCATGAGATACATCAATAGTAGGGCGTCAGTAATTATCCTTGTGTGCCAAAACCTGAAGAAGAGTAAGCGTTTTATCAGAAGATCCATGTACAGGTTTGCAATCAGTTTGATTTTTCGGAGTTCGTTTTTCACGATACTCTGTACCCTGTGGTCGTAAGCTGAGATGATCAGCAATTGAGATTAATTGAATTTAATTGTCTACTTTTCAGACTGTAGAGCTATAGAAGGTAACTGGATACCAGTGTGATCAATTCATAGTAATGTCTAAGTTTTTCATTCACACTTTGAAAGTCTGTTTCTTCTTGCATAGTTGAAACTCGATGTTAATTACTCCATTAGGTGTTGCTATATCTCTTCTTCTGATCCTTGGACTTCAACTCTGCTTAGTAAATTATAAAGAGATTTTTGATAGAGGTTTCGTAAAATATCGTTTTGTTCATGAAAATTAATACCTCTGCATATTGCTTGTTACCTTCAGTCCAAAAAATCATCTCATAATCTATTCACCATAAATGAGACAAAAAAGCTGTGATACCATACTATCGCTTTTCTGGAAGCGTTTCAGAAACTATTTTTATTTTGTTAAGGTTTTATTTTGCTCCTTTGGCAGTTATTTTGTTATATATCTATATATTAATATAGCCCTCTTGATTTTTAGAGTGGATCCTCTGACTTATGGTCATGTGTGACCCGGCAAATCCTAGTGCTAATTCCCTTGTGAATACCAGATGTACGGATAACACTCCAGAACGTAATATTACTTTGGATTCTATTATGGAGTTAATCATTCAGGAGCGAGAGCTTCGTACTGGTTAGTCGGTTACCCACTCTTACTGACAAAATTTTCTGTTTGAAAGATTAAATTTTCTCATTCGAATTACCGAAGAATGATTAACAGCTTAATTTAAAAATATGTGGATATAAAGAAATAATAAAGACTCATTAGTGAAAATTTCTAGGACACTTGACAAATTCGAAGAAAACGACTTGTAGTTTTCCACTTATAAAACCCTGGGTGCTATCTTTCTAAGAATTACTGAGCGTAGTTTCAGCCCCTTGGGTTTCACGAATTCTCGAGTCTTGACTAACAAATATTTAGATGCTAAAATGTGTTGATCTAAAAGTTTTGTTATTCTGGTGTTATGTGACTAAACAGATACATTCGCTAGCCAAAGTTAATTCCAACGTCAGTAAACATGAAGGATTTTATGATGGAATGGACAAAATATGTCCAAACTGCTAATTATGGCATTGTGATAAAGCTTCAGTAATTGAATAATATTCTACATTTATCTAAACGGTTCATCTCATAATCAAATAATATATCTCGAATCCCAGACGTGAATAACGAAGCCATAGATGAACGAATATGGGGGCCGATTGACCTTTCTCAGAACAGGTTACGTCTCGTGTAAAATCAGTACTACTGTCAAACACTATCAATGAGTATAATAAGTAGCTTTACAAATGCTTCTACAGCAGTGATTTAGACAATTACATGTCAAAACTCATCTTAAGTTCCTATAACTGGGATGCAAACTGTTAGCAAAGATTTATCACGTTGCAAACTAGACGATTTTAGTTATCATGGAGTGTTCAGATACTGCTTTTGATTAGTATAACAGCATTTTTGTCCGACTAGATTCTGATAGAAGAAAACTTGGCATCGACTATATTGAAGTGTATCACAAACAGTGATAGTTGGAAATAGTGCCTAGTTAATTCTGGTTTACTATTCTAGCTGCAAACGATAAAGGTTTTTAATTTTAATTCCTAGGAAAGTAAATGCTCACTTTTGCAGCATCCCACATATCCGTCAAATGGCCCCTTGACGTTCCCAAGTTACTATTGGTTCTTAGAGCGATTTTTGTGTGCAATACACAACAGCAGTTTACGAAATCACTAGTTTTTTTAAGATCTCTCATACTGTAAGAGAATTTTGATCACATTCTATTCATTGTTTGTATATATGATGTTGATGAAATCTGAAATCGCCTTCTATAATGTCTATCTGTGAGAATTATCAATCTTTTAAGTGTTGTTTCTACTGTCATGATATGATTTGTTACGGTAATTTATTTCATTACTTTTCTTTTTATTTCACTGACTTTCTATGTTTTTAGAAAACATTTTAAGGAAAGGTTTCGATGTTAGTATCATCAATTCTCACAAGGATTTCTGGTTTGATTTGTTTACTCAGGCATTTCTTTCACCGGCTTTGGAGAGTTCAATTGATGGACCAGGAGATGATCTTTTATTATTTTGTTCATCATCTTAAACAAAATCATAAAAAAGTAATTTAAATGTTATTAATTTATTCATGTACTACCCTCATGCATTATATGAATAAGAATTCTTTCATTTTTATGTACAATGTCTTATCATCCTACACATGGATAAATATCGTTTAAGTGTTTACTCACTATGCAGATTCGTATTCTACAATTTGAAGATTTTTTTAGATTTTTCACTTTTCATCACATGTTAGTATCCTACTGATAAGTCTGTTAATTAAACGCAAGATCTAAGTTCTTAGCTGCTTCTAATAACTTCCAGTTAAATTTACACTGCCATTTGGACACATAGAATCAACATGAAGTGCAAAGCTAAAGAATAGTGATAAAGATTTAATCAACTCACACGATAAAGAAAGATGATTTTGAAATACACCACTTTTTATATCATTTATTTACAGTTAGATTGATAATCAGATATGCATAAATTGAACTGATTGGTATTTAACAGTAATAATCTAATAACTTACTATGTGAACACGTACTTACCACATTGTATAACTAAGAATCTGTAATCCTTCTTAAAATGTGAATACATATTATAGACTATTGAAAACATATGCATTTTATATGTCATTCACACTTCAGTTGATTAAGTTATTTATTACTTGATGTATCATACACATTACACATAAAGTATCATTACAATTTTATGAACACCTATTTTTCAAATAGGTGTCTAAAACATTTGGATATCATTTCACTAGCGAATCTTTTAACTATTTTGTGCATTTACATACGTCCTTGAAGTCGGTTTCATTTTACATCATCTTCATTTCATGGAAATTTTTCAGTCAGTATTAGGAAACGAAATAAACTTTCCTAGCAATTATGGTGCTCATTTATAAAGCACACGTTTGTGTACTTAGGAATTTGTGTCAACATTTTTTATCAAGGCTAGTGATATTACAAGACCGTCTAAATTGAAGTAATTATAGCAGTATTGATGCGTGGTGCCTAATTTTTGAAAATCAAATGCTTTGATTCAACTGATCTCTCCACTTAGTAATACCATATGATTTTTGTTATCTACTTAGGTTTTTAATGAAGCATCAATTGAAAAATAAATCATTTTCATTTCTTTATCAAACGGGGAATTTACAGCATTACACTAGTCCGTTTGTGTTAGGTTCGTCACTAGGTATGCTTGAAACACTATTACGGGTCAATAACGAGAACAAGACAATGAACCAGCGTCCAGGTAGGCTACTCTGATCCGTTGACCCCAAACAGCTAACGAGAAGTCTTGATATAGCGTAGAAAGTATATTCTACAAACATCCAGCAAGCACAATGAACCCAAGCACACAAATCGCGTTTATTTATAAATCATAGAAACGTCCTTGAGACAGTCACAAAAATAGCACACTAAAATACACAGCAACCAAACACAGCCAAGAATTTTCCTGGTGGGAAGCGAAATCTCAAGGTCAACTGATTAGCCCATGCTCGCAAACGTGAAATCCAAATTAAGGCATTTATCAAGCGAGTTCTGTGGATCTAACGTCCTCAACAGTTTGATACCTGTTACTTAACTTTGTTAATTATCTAAGTTATACAATACAGCTAGAAAAAGCGTCGCTTATGTCACATTATTAATTTCTAACTTGCATAACACACAAAATAGTCCAATATATATTCAGACATTTTATATTATTTTGGTATATATGGTTATATATATATATATTTTTTAAAATAACTATATTTTAACTAATGAATATGTAATCGTTTATTTTCTATTTCATTGATAATAATAAATTAATTTGACCTTTATCCATTTTTCAATTTACGTATTTTTTTAAAAAAAAATAAAATAAAATGAAATTTTTTTTGATAAATAGTGTACTTTGATTTAAGTTTATTATGTATTGTGTAGGATAGATTTCATATGAAATCTATGTTGTTGCCAAATTGTGTTTCTTCATTGTAGTAAGCATTTTGTAATTTTGTTCTAAAATATCTATAGTCCAGGTAAATTAAGCACTTACAACTTAAGTAATCAAGTTATTAATTTAAAGTTTACATTGAAAATCGGAGTTTGAACTTAGTACACAAGTCTTTAAATAATATTGTTCAGTTATATTTTGTACAGTAACAATTATGGTGTAACATGAATCTTTTGAGTTATACAATTCACTATTTAGGTATAGAGTATTGTTTACCCGATTCTGTGTAAACATTCCAGTTTGGTTCTTCTCTTTTCAATTCTGATTGATTACCAGAAAGTGCTTACCAGCATTTGTGAGATGTTCAATACAAAACGCATACAAAAGATTTTGCGATTTAGCAGTTATTTTTGTTAAACGCAACAGTATTACACTTCACTATATCCTGTTACTCATACAAATAATAAAATAGCAGAATTTATGAAACAAACGTCAATATACATTAGAAACATTGGGCTTTTTAGAACAGATATCATTCAGCTAGACTATTTCACAATAACTACATGTTATTTGAAGACATCTTGTATGTATCGAACAATATTGTAAATATGATGATAGGGTTTCATTATCTGAAAGGAATATTTCACGAACTAAGTGTTTAAATGACTAATAAATATATGCAAATCATAATCTTATCTATTGTCGACAAATGACAATAAGCGTAGTAATAAGAGTGAACATTATGGCATTCTGCACAAAATTTGGCTTTAGAGAAAAACGGTTTGTATATATATATATATATATATATATATATATATATATGTATATAATACCGTACTTGCTCTCCAACAGACTCCAATATTTCAATCAACTATGGAGCGACTTGGTAGTAGGAAGTGCTAGATATTTTCAGAATTTGACGGAAACGTAATCTAGGTTTGAGTATTTTTAGTAACCCATAAAAGAATAAAATGCAATGTGGAAAAACAAAACAGAACAATAATTTTAAATTTTTCTGGAGTTAAACTAGTGTCATGAACCAGAAACTCATTTGTGTGTTATCATGCCAATATATCTAGCTCCTTATAGATGTAAAAAAAATCCTGTCGAATGATTGTTTTGTAAGATATAATTACTCCTTCTATGATTTTCTTTACTTCAATACGATATGAACTGTTTCAAATATTCACAAATAAATATCCTATAAAAGTTGTGACCTAAATTTCTTTTTCATTTCAACAAGTAATGGAATCGCTTTTTACCGTAAATGATTCACATTGTTGTTATTTTTTTTTCCGAATTGTTTAAGTTTACTGTGTAAAAAGTGATACAACAAAAAATAAATCATTATAAAAAAATTTTTTTCTAGCCTGAATTGAGTGTATTTCGTAGAAATAGTTCAAACCTTCCAAAATTGACTGATGATTATATTGATTGGGAGGAAACAGTGTATCTTAACTTACTCATGCAATATGTAAGTTATCATTATTGCTTTTAAAAAATGATATTTTAAATAATATTTTCATCTAAATCCATTTGTTGTCCTATGAACTTATTGCTTTGTTTAAAAAATTCACATTTATCGTTAGAATTATAATTTATCTTCAGTCAGTCATTGTTAGACCACCACCATTAGAAACCTAGGAGCACTGGACGGCCGTTTCGTCCCGGTATGGGACTCATCAGCAGTGCGCATCCACTACTCCTGCACCTCTCCGGATCCGCGCGCGAACGCCTAACCTCTGGACCAAGTGGGCCGGCATCCAAAGGTGTTAATGTCTAACTCGGATCAATCTAGAGATTTTGTGCGACCTCACCCATTGTCTTTGGTAGTTACTGCCTACACCCGATAGGGTGTGGATGAGTCCCATACCAGGACGAAACGGCCATCCAGTGCTCCCAGGTTTCTAATAGCTGTCTAACAATGATTGATTGATGATTTCAACGTGTAAAAACACTGATCCCTATAACTCTAATTGAAAAAATTATAATTTTTATAATTAACACCTGTGTATTATTGGTAGATGTAGGCTGTAGTCTCTACTACACGGCCATTTATTCAGTTAATTAGTTGAACTAGTTTTATTTTCTGTTACGTGTGATTTCCTTTAATTATATGATAAATATAACCTATTTCATTGAAAAAGTGGGTTATTCTGTTTGTTCATAACAAATTCATTGTTTCCCTCATATGCTTTGTAAATGAGATGATTACGATTTTCGAGTCTGTGTTTAGTGAGTGTATAAATATGAATAATAGTTCCTCATAGCATATTACATTACAGGAGATGTCATGCAACTTTTCTAAATTTATAGTATTTACTATCTACATTTCGATTCCTCATTGGACGTTGGTACATATTCATACCGGGTTGTACGTTAACTATGATTCGATCATATACTGGGATAGCAGATCCTTCTGATTCTTCATTGGTTAACTTTCTACTTTGAGATATTTTGACCTGATTAGATAATTTAAATGATAACTCCAACCGTATATCTAATATTCAGGATATATTCAGGAACTAATACAGAGAGTACAGTCAGCTACAATCTACCTCAATAGGTTATACTGCGTAGATCTGTTTCAGCCTGGACCTATATGAGCTCACAATCCCCTGGTACTATCTAAATGCTCTCGTATTCACCTAGGGTAGTAAATAAATTTTGATTATAAACCAGTAGTGTAAATGAGCTCCATGATCTTAAGGGAACAACTGGTCACTAGCTATCTTAGAATCACATCTAACGTTGCTCTACTACCTAATGGATTCGACCTGTAAGTCAAAGGCTTGAAGAGTGGCCCACTAAAACAACTACTTACTTCAGTTTAGATACTCAAGCAATAGCTCAGCCCACATACAGACTCACTGATTTGTATGGTGCATAGATAGTTAGGTGCCCCTTTGTACGAATATTTTTTGTGTGTGTATGTGTGTATATGTATTACTTATTCATCATGTACTTTTTCTCTTGAATACAGTTTGTTTATGTTGTAACAGTTGCTGTATGTACTCGTACTGGACCTCAAGAGTGGCAAATTTTAAAGAAATTTTCTCAAGTAAGTCTACAACTTTCATTGTTCTTCTTATTGGGTTGTTTTTTTTTTTTAAATTACTATTTTTACAACAGATTCTTATTGTAAATTTTTGCTTTCAGTAGATAACAATGAAATAATGGTTGAATCAAATCTTCATTGATTTGTGTATTGAGAAGCACAAAGAAAAATACACAGCGAACATATTAGACAGAGTCAATAATTAGTTGTGAGAATATTACCAAAAAAAAAATACTGAAAGACTATGATAAATTATGTTGATTTTTAAATGATTAATGATAATTAACATAGATAAAAATAGTAATATTATCACTAGTAAATTATTTTGCTTAGAGTTAATGCCAACATAAATCTCAATAACTTTTGTAAAAGTTTCTAAAGGTGATGTGATACATTTCAGTATTTAAATAATAATAATAATAATAATAATAATAATAATCGGTTGGCATGGAATATATATTGGAATGTGACTAGTAGTGGAATGCACGATACACTTTTCGTTCTATTTTAAACTTATCAGTTAATTATATACACACTTGCATTCTGTAGTCGATGTTCACTTTAAGATTAGAACTTAATACCAACGCATTATCCACTTCAACTTGAATTAATAATCGATCTATTTTATGCTTTATGATTTATTGTAGTAAGGAATGTACTCAGTGAAAATGATAGAGTATTTAGGAAAATTTCCTTTTTTATCCATTCGACTTGTTAGTATTTAAAACAAACGTATAAAAAAGTCTTGAAGCAATGATTAACTAGCATTCATATTCATTTGAAAATGACTACTATAGGTTTTTTGGCTCTGTAGTCTCTCTTTTTTTGATTGCACCATATATTTCATGTATGAATTCTGTAGAAGTTACCCCTACCGTCTAAGCCAATTCACTGACCTGAAGGGAAATAATACCAATCATCTTAATGTTTTTTTCCTCAGTTTTTTAATAGTTAACTTCGTGATTAAATACAACTGCATTATTACACAAGGTTATCATTCAATAATCAATCAATTAAAACAAATATAAAATATTTTGGGGCACAGTTTTGGAGGTTTGCGTTTTTACACATTTGAAATCATCAATCAGTCATTGGGTTAAGTCGCGCAAAATCCCTAGATCAATCAGAGTTAGATATTAACACCGTTGGTTGCCGGCCCGGTGGTCCGATGGTAAGGCGTTCGCCTACAATGCCAAAGGTCCCGGGTTCGAATCCTGCGAGGAGCAGGAGTCGTGGATGCGCATTGCTGATGAGTCCCATACCATGACGAAACGGCCGTCCAATGCTCCCAGGTTTCTAATGGTAGTCTAACGATGATTGATTGATGATTTCAAATGTGTAAAAATAAAAAATAGAAACATTTATGTCAATGAACAAAACACATGACCTAGAAGTTTAAACAGGATCACCGTACTGATTCCTGAATCTAGAATCCCAAAGTTAACTCTTTTAATTTATTGAAGTACTAGTTTCGGATCCATTCTTTGTATTCCTTCAAAATTCTTAGCTCTTGAATTCTTCATAAACACTTTTTCTTATTTAAATTTTCTTAAATCGTATCTTCAATGTCTAATGTTTCCTATTACCATTGATATTATTACTCTATCTCTACTATCCTGGGATTCGACCTGACAATCCCATTTTGCTGTGTTAATGAGGTGTGGTAAGTTGAACTGATGTTCATGCATACCAGATTCGACGTTGCGACTGACTGATTGACTTTGCGAACTAGAAAAAAATATCGGAAAATTCGATTTTTTTTCATAAACAGAAAAAAAAGTCATTTAGAGTTTTGTTAGAATTTCATAAGAATATGACTCAAGTAAGTATCAATATTTTTTTAAAAGTCTGGATTGATCAGTGTTATAGAGATTCTCCTACTTCGAATTCTTTGTTTATTCTTCTGTGTAATATGAATAATTCCACGTCGATTGTTTATCCAATGGTTTGACTAATCAACATAAATCATTCTATTAATATTCCACTGTAGTTTTAATTTGTAATTTTTAATAAATTATAATTCTTTATAATCGCAGACTACGTAATACTTTCGTATAGTCTAGGTAGCCGAACAATATTCACTAACCTCACACTAAAAAAAGTGTTTTAAAACTATCTTCACAGATTTACTGAGTTCCACTGTTGGTAAATAAGCTTGCGGTAAATGATATTCGGCTTGTTTTGAATAAGCATTTCCTTCTTTCTCGTCAAAAAAAAGTTTCTTGTTACTCTTATATTCGATTAATTGTGTAAAGATATTAATAAATAGTGAGCACAATTCAATGGTGTACACATTTATTGACTAGGCTGTTATAGATTTTAATTTTTTTCTGATGGTTGATTTGACATTTCACTAGTTTAAATGTTTTAATTTTTAAGAAATGATGAATGAACACTTTCAATCATGGTATTAAGAAGTAATTTAGAAAAAACAAAGGAATAATTAGACTAAGTATATAACTTTTGGATGATGAGTTAACATTTTGTTGCACCTATGTTGATGTCTGTGTTCATTTCATAGTCAGTATAGTTAGTTTAAAACTTCTATTATGTAAATTTACATTAAGTTATCGAGTTACCAACAATTATCATTAAACTTCGTCGTTCTTAATGAATGTTTGTAGAGTAACATCGAAAAACCAATTGTTACTGTCTATTATTTACTTAGAAATATCTCACTTTTCTAATACATGAGTTTAGTTGTGCGAAACTTTTCATGGCTATTCTTTTGTCATGTAATAGTAACACATTTTTGAAACCATGAATCGATCAATGTTAGACCACCATTAGAAACCTGGAAGCATTGGACGGCCGTTTCGTCCTGGTATGGGACTCCTCAGCAGTGCGCATCCACGACTCCTGCACGACTCCACGTCCAGTGCTTCCAGGTTTCTATAGGTGGACTAACATTGATCGATTCATGTTTTCAAAAATGTGTAACTTAACAATCTTCACAACCCCGTATTGCATATAATAGTAATTCCTAAACATATTATTTCTTTCTATTTTTGCTACTTACTGTGATTGATTTCGATACTTTTAGTGTGCTGAACAATTTTATTAGGGATACTACCCCTAACTCAGGTCTCATATGGTCAAAAAATGAAAATTTCGGATATGCGAAAAAATCATTACTTGACATGAGATAAAGGGTAAAAGAAGTGTTTGGGCCTGTTTGCATCAAGATGGGCTACGTCTTCTGCTATCCTACGCCATATATGTGTACACCATATGCTATACTGCTATATAGAGCTGAAGGTTTCCTATGAGACCAGAGGTTCGCTGTGAACATTGTGGATGGCTTGGAATTGCTTTGGTAAGCATTGCTAACAGTCCATATAAAAAATTTGTTAGCAGGGCGATCGATTTCATTGATACTAGCGGTTGTTTTGCACTATTCCCGAGAGCCACTGTCATTGGACTGCTGTATTGCATATCCCCATTGCTAATAATGTTGAGTTTGACAGTCATGTAAGCGGGATCAGTCAAAATGGCCTGTTCATGCGGTGCATATTGATTGACGCGATCATGGATCGGAAATAATCTCTATATGTATGTACTAGTGTATATAAATGGTGTGAATGGTCCACCGGGGTATCAGGTACCTGTGTGGTTGCACCAAAGGTTTGAGCCGAACTGTTTATGTAGAAATGGTAACACGTGAGCAGTCTCATTGGTTCTCCTGAAAACCAATGTGAAATTGCCCTTCACAATACAGGGTTAATTTATATAATTATATAATTGTGGCTATTCTTTTGTCATATACGAGTAATTCATAAGCATAATATTTCTTTTTTTGCTACTTACTCTGATCAATTTTAATACTTTTAGTGTGCTGAACAATTTTATTGTTTAGTGAAACTACTACTCATTAAAATTATTTACAAAATAATAATTTCTTTAAAAATAGTTACTTTATTTCCCGGCAATTATAAATTCTTTTTTTTAATATTTTTATTTTTATGTATTCAAATGATCTTTGATGAGTTGTTATTATTACTGGAACTATCATTATTATTATTACTATTATGATTAATAGTCACATTCATACTTCAGTTGTTGCATTTAATGTTTGTATTGGAGAACTCCGCCTGTAGATCCTTCGGGGCTACTGCCGGTCCCAAGTCAAGATAAAGGAGAAGGGTTGGAATTGGGGTTGGCGATCCTATCCCGCAAAAAACTAACTCACTGAAAAAAAACGCTTACAAGAAAAAATAATTCAGACCATATTGATTGACTGATTGACCTTGGTTTAATAATGTTTAAAAGAAAAAATAAATAATTCTATACTCTTTTTTTATTGTTTGTAGACAGTTTATGCATCGCCTAGTCATAGACAAATGAATGTGAAAGGAAGTAATGAAGAAATAGTTTATCCAGATCTTTATTTTACAATCGATAATTATGAAGAGGTAAGGTAATTTAACTTTGATTTGTTTTGTGTGTACTCTTTTTTTTGTAATTCGATTACTCAAATATCAACACTTAAAAAAGCCATTTTTAGCCAGAGAAACGAATGGATAAAAGTCAGTCTACTTATGATTAATAAGTAGCATGCAGTGATACCAAAAAGAAAAACAATTAAAATGTTGAAATCACAGAGGTTATATCAAGTTTCATATATTACTGTAGAGACCCAACTGACAAGAGCCAAGTTATTTGATTGCTATCCAGAATCCTAATAATTATGGACTATTGTTTTCATTTGCCTCGTTAGTCATCCTTTCATTCAGTGAATGAATTCTTTTGAAAAAAAGTTATATGTAGAGGAAGCTTTTTATATCTGAAATTCGTATTTCTGACAAGAACTGGAATAGTGGTTTATGTTAATATACATTCTCAATGAATGGACAGTTAGATTAGTAAAGCAACTATATATTGTACAGAATTATTAGTTTATATAAAAGTGAATATCACTTTCCAATTGAAAAATAAACTAAAAATGATGACAATAGAGACTTTGAAGAAGTAAAAATGGTTAACGATATGAAATTTTTGAATTTTATGGAGACTTTGAATCTGGATTGTTTGAAGAAGGTTTTTTGAAAATTTTACTGAGATGCAACCCTGTTTATATGGCGTTACTCTACAAATAATACTCATTAATTTTCTATTAGACTATCAGTATTCGTGGAAAAGAAATTCTTCAGTGTTTATAATTTTTGATAGCTTAAATAAGGAATGATTCATATGAGTGTATATTTAAGTTATAAGTAGACTATTAAATAATAAAGAGGAGTATAGAGAATATTTTTAAACAATGGACGGATCACAACAACACCAGCATTAATAATACACAAGTTAATTTAAAATCGGGAAGACTGAACTTTCAAGATAACTGTGTATTCTAAGCAAAAGTAAAAAATTAAAATGGAACAACTCTTTTTTATTTGATAATAACGTTCATCAGTGAACTTGTGAACAAAAAACCAACAAATTAAAAATGACTAATAATACCAAAACCTGTTGCAGAAATGTGAATTAGGAAAAAGTCATAGAGACTATCTTCTAAAGGATGTACTAACATCTAGTGATAAAAACAACTACATAATCTAATCTTTCCTTAGCACATAATGGTTCTTGCAAAATATCTAATATTCTCTCCGTACTTCAATAACCTCAACTGTACTTGATAAATTTATTTGAAGTGACTTCACTAATCTAAAGGATCATACTATCTATCAGCAGCATCTTCAATCGCTTCTTTTAGTTCGCCATATTGCCTGGATAAAACCACCAATTTTTCGTCAATACTCTGCTTTCATTTATCCATCTCTCACATTAGTAAATAAAACCAATGATACTAATTACAATATTTTAATAAAATTTCAACTTAACCTATCTAGGCATTTGCTGAATGTGTTCTTCGAGATAGTGAAAGTATCAGTGTTGAATTGACCGCTTATGATCGTTCTGGACGTGTACATGGTGTTTGTTTTATTGGTACTATTTCTTATAATGCTATAAAACAATTTTATGATTATTCATCTGTAAGTTGATTAACGTTTCATTGTATCTGTATAAATTGATAGGAAAAGTTTGTTGTTTTTTCTCTCGAAATTTGTGTAAGCCCTCCAAATTATTTCAGTCAGTCAGTCAGTCAGATGCAACGTAGAACTTGGTACGTAAGTACATCAGTTCATGTTGCCATACCACATCAGCACAGAGAAGTAATCGTCAATTCAAATCCAATAGTAGAAGAGTTAGTAAGGGAATTAGAAGTAATCGGAGAGGTTAGGGTTACAAGATACTATTCAAGAAGTATGATTCAGCGAGAAAAGTTTAGAGAGTCGAAACTAGAGGTGTTGAAGAATCTAGAAGATTAGGATTTGAGAGAACACAAAGAATAAATGCACCGGCGCCATTGCGAACGATTTTGAGCCATGTCATTCAAGGTCTCTAACCATCGATTATTATCATCTCGTGGACCCCAACCGGGTAGTCGAAAATTACCGACATGGCTCAGTCCACTCGTCAATGACTTCATGGATTTGTGCCATGTTTTGGTCTGGCCGCCCCTAGCTTTCTTCCAGCCTACTCCTACACTACAAAACAGAGTTCGTCGAGGCAGTCGGTGGTTCGGCATACGCAAGACATGTCCCAACCACCTCAACTGATGAAGTTTCACCACTTCATCGATTGATCTGCCATCCTTACATAGTACTCGTTTCCTAACGACAGCATTGTTTACTCGGTTGTCCCACGGTATACGAGCAATGCTTCGAAGACACCTATGATCGAAAACCAGTAACCTACGAATATCTTCTACTCTCATTGGCCATGTTTCACAGCCAACCAAATTATTTCACTAATTAATTAAAGTTAAACATGTTAACCAGTTGTTGCTTGCTCAGCTGAAGGTTATTATTCATGAGGTCTAAAGGCACTGGGTTTGACCGACGATGGGCTTGTGAATGTTCACTGTACGGAAGTTCCATACTAGATCTAGACAACTGTCTAGTACTGCTTGATCTTCAATGGTTGTTTAATTAAGATTAATCCATGATGTTCATCATAGAATTCTTTTTATTAACATAATTTATATGGATTATTTCTTACATTCAGTTGAAACTAAATGAATCCACCTATAAACCATTGGGAAAGTAGACATGAAACTCTGGAAATCACAACCTATTTATTATCGGCTTCTATCATCATGAGTTAGCATTCATTAAAAAAAAAAACTATATTCTAATTTTTATTTTGAATTAACCATGGTTAACATAATTTGTATTGTCACTTATGTTGGAGAAGTATTTAAAATCTGTCTTCATCAATTGAGGTGGTTGGGACATGTGTAGCGTATGCCTAACCACCGACTGCCTCGACAAGCTATGTTTTGTGATGTAGGAGTAGGTTGGAAGAAAGTTAGGGGCGGCCAAATCAAAACATGGCACAAATCCATGAAGTCATTGACAAGTGGACTGAGTCATGTCGGTAGTTGTCGACTACCTGGTTGGGGTCCGCGAGATGATAATAATCGATGGTTAGAGACCTTGAATGACATGGCTCAAAATTGTTTGCAATGGCGCCAGTGCATTTATTCTCTGTGTTCTCTGAAATCCAAATCTTCTGCATTCGTCAACACCTCTAGTTATGACTTTCTAAACTTTTCTCACTGAATCATACTTCTTGAATAATATCTTCTAATCCTAACCTCTCCGATTACTTCTAATACCTTAACTACCTCTTCTAATATTGGATTTGAATTGACAATTATATCTCTGTGCTGATGTGGTATGGCAACATGAACTGATGTATTTACGTACGAAGTTCTACGTTGCATCCGACCATAGATGTTCTTATTAAAACTAATTAAATTCTTAAATCAAAAAAAAATGAAACAATAATCATTTCTCATTATAAGATCATCGTATCAGGTGAATACAGTGTCTTGAGATTTTAGTCAATTGAAAACAATAAACCCAGTAAGGATTTTATTTAGAATATACAGAAAGTTCTTAATGTATATTCATTTGCATAATACTTCACATAGGTTAAATAAAAATAAGATCCCTTAACACTTTACTAGATAAATATTTTTTTAAGTTTAGGATAGCTCATTTTGATTGCAGACGGTTTGTTCACATACAGAATAAGTGTAATTGTTTAAGTGAGTTTAGTTATAGCTAAAAGAAACTCATTAAGAAGTTGGTTATTAATTTCAGTAGATAACCATAATTAATTATCAATACAATGAACCTTCAATAGAACTCAAATGGTCAAAATACAACTGCGTTCATTTTTGTGGATACCAACACATAGTCACCCTAGTAGAAAGTTAACTTTACTTAAAAAAAAAAAAGAATCACTTGTTTATTATCTAAATGAAACTGATCAAGATCTCCGAAACTGTTTAACATCTTGACAGGTATCAGTATTCGAACGCAGAGATGGTAAAATATTAATATGACATTCAACCTACAGATCGCAGGTTTGCAAGCCTTGTCCCCACAATTAAACTTGTATTTGGTCAATAAATTACATCTTTCTCCATTATCCATTGGTCTGAAAAGTCAAGCACATGAATAAACAATAGATTTTATTGATTCATCTTGACAGTTATTCGTACAAAATACTTAGGTTCATATCTGTTTTTCCATGACTGTTGCTGATGTAACTTAGCATTTATCTAAATTCTGTCAACATATCTCTCATATATTACATTCTCTATTATGATTATTATTATTATTATTTTGAACTGTATTAGCAAACTTCTCGTTCATTTGGTGGTAATGTTGTTAATCATCATTCTGGTTATCGACAGAATCGATCAACAACAACATCAACAACAAACACTGCACATTCATCTTCATCTCCTCCAAATATCGATAATACACCAACTCAATTTATGCGAGTAATTGGACCACAAGCCAAAGGATCAGCTGAAATAGCAATTAAATCAATGAAAAATATTACTCATCGAAAATCATTGGATTCAAGTAAAACAGACGATATGAAACGAACAAATTTTATCACAAAATGTTGTCAACCTATTTGTCCCGTAGAATCAAACATGGAGTATAATTCTACAGACGATTGGATGTTTTACAAAATGGATTGGACACATAAAACGGTGCATTCTGAAGTAATTACTCAACAACCAATTATAGTGAGAAATATATATATGTGTGTGTGTGTGTTGTCCTGCCAAAGATGTTTTTCTCTGAAGTAGCTTTACAGAAATTATTTTTATGTAGTGTTTTTTCAAGCATCATTTCCCCATTCCTCCAGTAATATTTATTTTTTTCATGATGAATTGAAATGTTTCCAGTTAGCTTCATGTAATTTACCTTTACGTTTAGCCTAGTTTTAAAACATTCACATGAATACTGATATCAACTTACAATGCATTCCAGTTAAATATGTTTAGATTTAAGTATTGCGAAACATCACATCGCTGTGACTGAATCCATCCGCTCATCTATTGATGGTAATAACATTGTTAGCCGTTAATAAATACAAGATTGCTTATATGAATTTGTAAAACTAATTGACGCTTATAGCGCTATGGTTTTTTTTCACTGGTGTAGTGAAGGAGAACACAGGTGAGGGCAACTGAATTGTATTTATCTCAAATATACAGAGTTAATTGGTAAAATAGGAAAACCATATCGTAAATTGTTAATTTGCAAAATATCAATCCATCATATCGAACTGGACTGTCTGTTCCTGTTGCAAAACATCAATCCATTGTCTGACATTTCAGTGTTCATGCGTTTCATACAAATCCCATTGAGTTCCCGCTCTTCTTCCTTTCTTGATCTTCCCCCATCTTCTTCTGCCTGACATTACGTTTTTACTCGCGTCATATACTACTTATAAGTAGCGCGCACCACATTGGGACTATTGTTTTTCTTTTCTAAAATTATTTTTAAAGATTGCACTATATATGTGTACACACAACAGATCGTATAAAGTATATGTATATATACTCATAGAATATACTTTCTTTTTCAAGTCAGTAAAAAATCTGTCTTCATATTAAAGGGTTTTTTAAAAAAGGAAATGAAAACTTGATTAAATTGCATGGCCATAATTAATTCTCATAAATGATACCATTTTTTTTTGAGCAAAATTGTTGTGATCATGCGATATTCTTATTCATTATTTATATTATAATAAATGTATGCATTATTATTGCGTTTTTTTTCGGCATGTCTTCTCCTGTCAAATCACGCCGCTTGGAAATGTCATCGTTTCTGAAAAGAAAAAAAACTAGTTTAACTATTTGAAATTCTTGCTCATTCAGTAGGGTTTTTTTTAGTTGTGAAGAAAGACTGTTGACTGTTTAGAAATCATGACAGAAATGAGTCAAAGACATCAGTCAGTCTGTTACAACGTAGAACTTCGTACGTACGTACATCAGTTCAAGTTGACATACCACATTAACACAGAAAAATCGAATTGTGATGGTGGTAGTGTTTGGTTCTCTGAGCTGGGTGTTTTGGTTGATGAACCAAACACCACCACAATCATCTACCTGAGCTACAAATCTTCTCCACCATCTCAAAAAATCGAACTGTCAATTCAAATTCCATAGTAGTAGAGGTAGTAGATGTATTAGCAGTAGTCAGAAAGATTAGGGTTCGAAGATATTATTCAAGAAGTAGAATCTAGTGAAATAAACTTAACCAGAAAGAAAAGGTGAAGGTGATGAAGAATCCAGAGGATTAGGATTTGAGAGATGACAAAAAATGAATACACCTACGCCATTGTAAACGGCTTTGAGCCATGTCATTCAAGACCTGTAACCATCGGTTACTATCATCCTGTGAACCTCAATCAAGACATTATGACATAAACGTATATTATGTTATTCTGCTTATGATTATATCTACCCAATCAGTATGATTTGAAATTTTTGTGGAAAATTAATTAGTCATTCTAAGTAAAAAGAGTTGATAAAGTTTGTTACGTTGGTTGAAATTTATTTCAAATACTAAATACTAGTTTCTCTTGATTACATCCACCTAACCATTATCTTTGTACGAAAGAGTCGATAACAATTGCATTGGATGTCATATCATAAAGTATAGTGTCAATGTTTAATTTGGCCTATCGATCAAACAACCAATTCACAACAATAAAAGTCCTATTTCAAATTGATCTGTATCGTACATATCATTGATTCGTCAAGCTCGTTAATATTTTTTTAAAATAATTTTTCACTTAAAAGTCGAATATGTAATTGACGTAATGATAAATGAATAGAGAAAACCCTTGTGGTCATATTTCCATATCTTATTGTCATAATCTATTGTGAACCATTGAAAATTGAAAATATTGTGAACTAACTAGCTTGATACCATTTGCACTGAAAAATAATAATTTACAATTTACATCGAGCTATGTTTTGTGATATAGGAATAGCTTGGACGAAAGCTAGGGGCGGCCAGACCAAAACATGGCAGAAGGTCATGTCAGTAGGTGTCGACTACCTGGTTGGGGTCTGCGAGATGAAAGTAATCGATGGTTAGAGACTCTGAGTGATATGGCTCAAAACCGTTTGCAATAGCTCAGGTGCATTTACTTTTTCTGTTCTATGAAATTCTAACCTCTGAATTCCTTATCACCTCTATCTTTCTCTTTTTAAATTTACCTCACTGAATAATACTTCTTGAATAATATCTTCGAACCCTAATATCTCCGATTACTTCTCATACTTTTACTACCTCTACTACTATGAGATTTGAATTGACAATCATATCTCTGTGCTAATATGGTATAGCAACTTGAACTGATGTACGTACGTACAAAGATCTACGTTGCATCTGACTGACTGAATTCTATCTAGCCAAAATGCCAGTATTTTATCTGAAATAGTCTCCGTTTTATAGCATCGTAATATGAGACCCATCAGATTTATGGGGTCTGTACAAGATAATCAGCAGTTACCACTACTTATGGCAAAATATTATTTAATTTTTTTCATTCAGAATACGAATTAGTAAATAGAAACTGTCACTATACACTTTTCTATTATCTTACCTCTCTTAAAGCCAACAAACTTACTAGTCTCTCATGAATCGATGACCACTCTTTTCACGATTTAGAGAAATAAGTAACAATATCCGAGTATTTTTTTGTGAGCTTACTTATGTTTAAGTACTGGCTTCTCAACTGACAGCATGTTCAGCAATAGCATGTGACTTCTTGAAGATAGCTTTTCATCCTATAGTCTACAAAACACATACTTTCTCTCTTAAGTCAATTTTGTTGCTTATTCGATTACTTTCTGTGTACATGGATATACGTTATTTAACTTGAACAGTTTATATCAAATAGTACAACTAATTTTTGGCTGGTATTTTTTGTGATTTGACCAGTTAATAGAAGTGGCAAGAGTCCATTTATAAACATTTTTAACACTTTAAAGACACAACACTACGTAGTTCAAACAGCAAGAAGTTCTACGCAGGTACTCGCACATTTACATACTAAATTATTTACAGAATTAATCTGTGAATAGCGTACTATAGATTCGATGGATTGAACATACTTCTTAGGAATATATATATATCATCCAACTATCTTCTACTGTTATACTTCAAAATGATATTTAAAAGGTTTCAGTTTTGTCACAGATTATTTTTTACTACGAAGGAACTGCACATGTTTTTTCCAGGATTATCAGGTAAAGGGAGTAGTATGATTTATTGATGACTTACTGATACAACATCTGTCCTACCTTTATGGTGCAGGTGCATCCACTCTTTGTGTCCTCTCATATTCTAATCTGAATTTCTCATCACCTCTATTTTTCTCTCTTTCTAAATTTACTGTACTTTGCGAATAATTTTTTCGAACTATAATCTTCTCCATTACCGTTAATACTTCTACTACTATGGGATTTGAAATGACAATTGTATCTCTGTGTTAATGTAATTGACTGACTGACTGTTCTACCTTTGACATCTTTTGATCGAAATTAGTTACATTGATTTTGACTAGATTATCTTTGATTGATATTTCCTTTATTTCTTTATTTCAGCAGACATGTAAATCAACTAGTATTGACTATTACGAATTTCCACCAGAGACCTGTTTAAATGGAACCAATCCTAACAATAAAAAACTTGACTATCTTCAAAACATCTTAACAGATACCATACCGACATTACGCCCATCACCTTGGTCTGTTAAGTCTGCTGGAGCAAGTCTACACACAAGTCCTGTTCGACGATTCAAATATAGTGTAGGCAGTAAATGTTCTACTCCACGAATTGGGCTACAAGAATTCTCACCTACATTAAACCATAAATGTAAATTCAATTCCGTAAACACAATAAATCTGTACCAGGAATCAAAACCATCAAAAGTCTCAGAAATTCTCAGTGCATTCACCGGTATAATGACGAAACAATCATTAGGTAATGTTAATCGAACAAAATCAACCTCTACTAATCCTATGAATTGTACGAATAAATCAATTCATAAAAACTCTACTAATATCATAATGTCACTTCCTACCATGTGTGATGATGACCATTCAAACAATGATCAATTTAGAAATTTTGATTTTTACAAAGGTAAGAAGGAATATAGGACAGAACAATTTGAATTTTTACATTCGATTATTCAGTATTTTTTTTTTAAAAAGCTCGAATCTGAAATTGTTGGGGATGTTAGACCCCCCGGGACTCTCTTGATAAATATCTTTATTTTGGATTTATTTCATGGACCGATCAGTTGACCTTGAGATTACGTTTCTCACCAGGAAAACCCTTGGCTGTGATTGGTTACTGTGTCATTTTAGTGTGCACTTTTTGTAACTGTCTCAAAGACGTCTCTGTAGAGTATAAATAAACGCAGTTCGAGTGCTTCGATTCATTGTGTGCTGGCTGGGTGTTTGTAGAATACAATTTCTACACTATATCAAGACTTCTTGTTGGTACAATTTGGTCAAGGGATTACAGTAGCCTACCTGGACACTGGTTCATTGTTTTGTTCTCGTTATTCGACTAAGTTGAACTCGTAATAGTTTAAGGATACCTAGAGTCAAGCGTAGCAGAAATGATGCATTTTTATTTATCCATTAAGATTTAGGTTATAAACTAAACATATCATTAGTGTAGACATCTTGGTTTCATGAGAGATTAATGAGTCGTGTGGATAATCCAATCATTTAAGATTTAGTTACAGTGAAAATTATTTATAGAAAACTGTAGATATTATTATTATTTGGAATCTAAACGTATGACGTTTGGTGTTTTAATATCAGACGCACTAACATAAATATTCCGGCTGTAATGACTCCTACAGTATCAAATTATAAATATCCACTGGTCCTGATAATTTTAAAGAATTTAGTAGTTGTACGTTTTTTCGTGTCCGAATTTATCGCAAAAGGAACTAAATCCTTTTTCAATACTCATGGTATTTGGGTGCAATCTTTGGTAGGAACCTGATATTGCTCTGTGTTTTACAGATCCGCTATACTTATTGTGTAAAAGCCAAATTATGGCTTATTAAGGTAAGCGTTTGGTTTATAGCGACCATTTGATTCGATCAAGGTAACCTAATAGTAAAGTTGATGATGTCATTATGGATTTTTACTTGATGGGTTAACTAAACACCATTAGACCTACTAACATGATTGTTAAAAGTACCTAGTCATTTTAGCAAATCAACACTGGACTTATCATGTAGTTATGTCTGAAGCTTTAGAAACTCCGATAACCGTGAATAGCTCCTAGAGATTATGGTTTTTTTTCAGCCGAAATGTGACATTGCCATTCACCTAAACTGCAAATTATTATCAGTAGACGGATAAATAGTACAGTTATGAATACGTCCACAAATGTAAACACAGAAGTTATTAGTGACACTTATTCTAATAATAAATACGTTTATGTAATATTTAATTATCAGATTGTACATATTCATACGTCAAAAAAATATTGAAATTAACGCTACGCATTTTTCTTCTCTTGTAGGTCATTTATATGAAAATCCTTTTACAATATCTGATCGAAACAACTCATTTGGACAGGCATGGTCTTGGTTCAAGGAAAAAAGACGAACTGCCTCAGTCGGTTTAATTACTAGTCCAACATTTATCACACTTCCTTGTCAAAATATCCTTGTCGGTAATGAAGTTGATCATTCTTGCCTCAAAATTTCTACTTTTATTAAAATCGCTTTTATCGTATATTCGAACCAAGTGATCATAACAACCAGAGGGCATAATACCAGTTGAGATACAGTGGTTAAAATAATTGTTCCTTACAGTCTTATCATGTGAAGAAGTTTAATTAGAAATGGACAGATAAGAAAATTAGTGTGATATTAAAAATCACAAAGTCATTTACAGCGCAGTAAAACAAGAATATGGTATTCAGCATTCGCAACACCGATTTCTTGAGCTTTTCAGAATAAATTAGAATCAGTTGGGTTCTCAAGTAAATTATCGCCCTCTTTTTTTGAAACAGCTGCGTACCTGGAGACTCGCTTAATGACTTAGAGTATGCCGATGGCATAGTTGTGTACTTGGTGAAGATGCTGACAAAATGCATTTATCTGACTACCCTAAGCAACAATGCAGGCATGTTCGGGATGCGATTCTCTCCTTCGAAATGCGAAATATTGCTTCAGGATTGGCTTGCATTGATATCTGAACTAGTCATAGGGAGTGAGGTAGTTGAGCATGTTGATCGGTTCACTTATCTTGGTAGTTTCATCAGTGCTGATGGCCTGGTGTGTGACGAAGTCTCAGCGCGGATACAAAAGACTCGACTGGCTTTTGCCGACTTGCGTCACTTATGGCGTGGGTGAGATATCCGTTTGCTAACCAAACGACGAGTGTACTGCACGGCATTGCTCGTTCTACGTTGCATCTGACTGACTGGGAATATCGAGTAAGCGATTCTGTCGTAGGGAACCGGTACTAGGTAAGGATGGCAGATCAGTAGATGAAGTATTGAAACTTCATCAGTTGAGGTGGTTGGGACATGTGTTACTAATGCCCAACCATTGACTGCCTCGACGAGTTATGTTTTGTGGTGTAGGAATAGCTTGGAAGAAAGCTAGGGGCGGCCAGACCAAAACATGGTAAAAATCCATGAAGTCATTGACAAGTGGGCTGATCTATGTTGATATAGGTAGACAACCTGGTTGGGGTCCGCGAGACTTTGAACTGATAGTTAGAAATCTTGAGTGACATGGCTCAAAACCGTTTGCAATAGCGCGGATGCATCCATTCTTCGTGTTCTCTCAAATCATGACCGTTTTCTCTCTTTTTTTTAATCAATCCCTCTGGGGTATATATACATCTCGAATGGTATATTCGATCTTTAATCTTTTTGATTACTGCTAATACATCTACTAGCTCTACTACTATGGGATTCGAATTGACAATTGAGTCTTTGTGCTAATGTGGTATGGCAAATTGAACTGATGTACGTGCGTACGACGTTCTACGTTGTAACTGACTAAAACAGCTGCTAGTTACTTAAAGTACGTTATAAACTGTGAAAGAAAATCTATTGTTAACCGTAAAGAGATATTATGCAATTTAATGATAAACTGACGGTAAACATAAATTCCCCAGTGCTTACAAGTTCTCATACCTTATGAGAACTTTCACCAATAGGATATTGTCTTGTTCATTTTGGGGTAAGGAATAAAATCCAAGAAAGTCGGAGTTAGTGTAGTCAGTGGGAACATGAACAGATAATAATGTACCCATTTTTCTAAGTTTTCACTTTACTGTTCAGTCGAAAAACGATCATCAAGAGGGATGCCGTCCTAGGGTGTCCACTCTACTTTCGAACTCAGTGGTATACGCTGGTCACATCACAAGTCGTCGATGATTTCCCAGATCTGCATTTGTATCTTGCTGATTCTTTTTATAATGTCGCTGTGACCACTCTGTAGTCTCTTATGAGGGTTTCTGAGGCAGTATGTATCGCCGCACAACTATTGTTTTAGCTGTCCAATTTCAGCTCAGACATCCCACGACTTTGAGATGGTGGAGAAAATTTGTAGCTCAGGTGGATGATTGTGGTAGTGTTTCGTTCTCTGAGCTGGATGTTTTGGTTGTGGAGTTTTAACTGTTCTTCTGACCAACATCATCAGCACAAACTTCAAATATAAGTGAAGCATTCGAATTCCTCCCACGACTTAGTATTTAGTTTGGATCGTCATTGAAAGACATCAAAAATGACACTTTGTAAACTCAAATCATTAATATTAGTGGCTTGTGACAGCAAATAAAGCCAAAAAATGAGTTATTAGTGGAAAGGGGAATATTAGGGAGCGAATAGATTCGACTATAAACAGGACTGATTTGAGTGTTGTTACAGATATGAAGATTGACATTTTTCGGTTGTTCACATTTAATTTTGACGGACCTGCAAATCAAACTAGATTAGTAATGCAGGATTTGTTACTCCAGGAGTGCGAACCCGAAACTGGTCACATGACGTTTACGAGTAGTTTTCTATTTGTCTGCTATCTATTTTTCGGGCCTTAAAACCATCACTGAGAGTTTGTTGGATAGGTGGCGTGTGCTACTTTCAGCGTCAGTTTTGTTTAACTTCTCTTATTATGTGAAGACTGTCACTGGAGATTGTGGTTATCGACGGAGGGACTCTGCTTCTGCCGTCCTGCAGTGAAATCGTCTTCCAGTCTTATATTCACTACCTTTTCGTTCGGTAAATGATATGCCTAGGATAACAAAATATCAATAAACAAGTGTTTTATACACTATAACTTGAGTGGCGTCTTCGATATCTAAGTATAAATACCATATAAGCTACAGTCGGTATGACAAACAGAAAGCTGTATAAAATTCAGTAGATTTATTGTTAAAGTAACATGTTCAGTTGCCCTTAGCACCTTCCATTCTTTCATGTTTCAGTGATTGCTTTTCTAGAAAGAAATCCAATCTCTACTTACGAACTGTTATATCTCTTGCTTATATTTTAACTATAGAACTTCTTGAAGTCAGAAGAGAACCTATCCTCAACTTTACAAGTCAGTAACTTTCATAAAGTTGTCAGTACATATGAGGAGCTACTCATATGCTCAAGGAGTCCGTCCTAATGTTTTTCAAGGATCAGAATATTTTGTACATCGAAATCCAGCACAAACGTCGGAATCAGTTGATTTCGCCGCATTCCAAACATCACTTCCATTCCGTCCAAACCATCACTTGCCAGTCAGTTTCGCTGACCAGAACGTTACTCATCTTTCTAATGTTCAGTCACTTATATTTTGTGCGTATTTATTATTTATTTATAAATTGATATGACTTATGAAGCTGTTTTTTGGTATGTTAACTCTTAATAGGCTGTCAGTCAGTCAGTTGCAACGTAGAACTTCGTACGTATGTACATAAGTTCAGGTTGCCATACCACATTAGCACAAAGACGCAAATGTCAAATCAAATCCCATAGAGATAAAGATAGTAGAGGTATTAATGGTAATGAAGAAGACTAGGGTTTGAAGATATTATAAAATAAGTATAATGCAGTCGGATAAGGTTAGAAAGACAAAGATAGAGGTGCTGACGATTCCAGAAGATTAGGATTTGAGAGAACACAAAGAATAAATGCACCGGCGCCATTGCAAACGATTTTGAGCCATGTCGTTCAAGGTCTCTAACCATTGGTGACTTTCGTCTCGCGGACCCCAACCAGGTAGTCCCCGACCGAAGCTGCTACCTTGACGTGGTGATCGGGCTTGCCTATAGTGATGACCCAACCGAGCTATATTGGCTGGAACTTATGTTCCTCAAGGTTCTACCATGCCAGACAGGTCGATTGGAGAACGATGAGACTAAAAGCAGCTACTCAAGGTCTGAGGGCGAAGTCGTACTGCTGACTGCAGAGGGGTGTGATAACAGTAAGGTGTTTCCCTCGAACAACCAGCATCTGCAGCGATGCTGCCTTCTCACAAGGAAGGAAGGGTTAGAAAAGGTCGGCCCTAAAAATGTCACACCTCCCCTAACTCACGGATTTCCGTCTCCGTCGGTAAGGGTGCCCACTAAGGGCCTTTAAGAACGGAACTAATCCTCAAAAAACATTTCATAAAAAGGCCGTGCGTGAACGGCTTCAAGCAGTTGTCCCTTGGACTCTGCGGTCACGCACCAACACTCATCTATCTTCCTTTCCAGGTTCCTCAAGAAACAACCTTCCACGGTGTGGGCAGCCGGGAAATGACAACCGCCCTCATACCCATAACAGCACGCGAGACCAAATTGGTCAAAATCAAATCCTTCCTACATCCCCTAGTACCTCTCTTATCTCCACGACTAACTCTTCTCAAATTCATTCATCACAGTGCACAGCTAATGCAGACCATACGAGTTCGCGAAACGTCGTTCCTGGTCTCCTTAAACCTCGCTCTAGACTACATGTTGGAGCATTTAATGTACGGACATTGTGTCAAATAGGGCAACAGGCTTCCTTATTTAGGACTTTAGAATCTCGTGCCATCGATGTATGCTGCGTCTCGGAAACGCGCATACAGCATCCGAGTAGCATCACTCATTTGACCTCACCATGTCAAGATAAAGAAGCAGCTCGATTTACTCTTCGCGTATCCGGTAGCCCTGATGCTGCTTCCAGGGGTCTTGCTGGCGTAGGCATAGCATTGAGTCGTAGGGCAGAACAATCTCTCCTTGACTGGATTCCAGTAGATAGTCGATTGTGCGCTGTCCGACTAAACGGGACAGTAAGGACTCGGAAAGATAGGGACAATCGCCGTTGCCTCTTCATCGTATCTGCCTATGCCCCCACTGAATGCAGTTCAGACGAGGTTAAGGATGAGTTTTACAGAAAGCTTTCGGACCTCCTCCAAGTAGCTAGGCGCTCTGATATAGTAATAATGGCTGGTGACTTTAATGCTCAAGTAGGTAGACTAAGTGAAAATGAAAGACACCTAGGTGGATGTTATGGTGTCGCGGCTCAGAGAACAGACAATGGTGACCGTCTGTTACAACTGTGCTCAGATAATCGCCTATTCTTAGCAAACACTAACTTTAGGCATAAGGAAAAGCATCTGTTGACCTGGCGACCTCCAAAGTCGTCTCAACGTTGGACTCAACTAGATCATATCGCCATCAGCCACCGATGGAGGGGTTCGATAGAGGACTGTCGCTCGTTCTGGAGCACATGTCTAGATTCAGATCATGCCCTAGTGCGAGCTCGTATTTGTTTGAAGCTTACTGGGCGTAGGAAAGACACCGTAAGAAAGCCTCTGCTAGGAAGGTTGACCATAAGGTTAGAATGAAACCGTGGATCTCAGTAGCATCCACCGATCTGATGGATGCCCGAAAACTCATCCCACCTGGCTCTGAACATGATGAAGAACGAAGTCAACTTAGGCGCAGACTTATGAAAAGCCTACGTAACGATCGCGAACAGTGGTGGGTGGCGAAAGCAAAAGCGATGGAAAAGGCAGCGGCGATCGGCAACAGTAGACAACTTTTCCGCCTTATCAAAGAAACCGGTATTAGTAATCCTAGTGTAAGTGAGACTATCTCAGAATATGACGGGACTATTATTTATTCTCAATCCAGGAGACTGGATCGATGGGCAGAACACTTTAGGGATCAGTTCAACTGGCCTCGAGCCACACTTCGGTTACCCACGATCTCCAGTCATCCTGAATGGCAAATCGACCTAAGTCCCCCTAGTCTTAATGAAGTTGAAAAAGCGTTAGGAAATCTGAAGCGAGGACGAGCTGCGGGTCCTGATAGACTGACCCCTGAGATATTTAAGGATGGTGGTTCAGTTTTAGCAGCTAGGTTGACTGAGATCTTAGGTAAAATCTGGGAACTGGACGTAATCCCATCCGACTGGTCTCAATCACTGATTGTCCCAATCTATAAGAAAGGACAGAAGTCTTGTGACAATCACGGAGGAATAAGTCTAACTAATATAGTATCTAAAATATTGGCCTCAGTAATACTTCGACGCTTAACGAAAGCTCGCGAAGACCAGACTAGAGAAAACCAATCTGGTTTCCGACCTGGACGTCGTTGTATAGACCACGTCTTCACACTCAGACAGGTCCTGAAACATAGACACACATTTAGGCGTCCTACAATAGTTGTTTTCCTGGACCTTAAGGCGGAGTTTGACTCAGTGGATCGTGAGGTTCTGTGGCAGTGTCTGTCATTGAAAGGTGTACCAAATAAGTACATTAACCTCATACAAGCTCTCTACTCAAACACCACTGGTCGAGTGAGAGCTTATGGCGAACTGTCACCGGAATTCTCTACTTCAAGTGGTGTCCGTCAGGGATGTCCACTTTCTCCATTCAGCCGATGACATAGTTCTATTCGGCGAAGACGCTGACAAAATGCAGAGTATTCTGACTACCATAAGCAACAATGCGAGCATGTTCGGGATTCGGTTTTCCCCCTCGAAATGCAAAATGTTGTTTCAAGACTGGGTTGCATCGGCACCTGAACTAGTGATAGGGAATGAAGTATTCGAGCGTGTTGATCGCCTCACTTATCTGGGGAGTCTCATCAGTGCTGATGGCCTGGTGACTGACGAAATCTCGGCACGGATACAGAAGGCTCGATTGGCTTTTGCCAACCTGCGTCACTTATGGGGAAGGCGAGATATCCGTTTGCTGACTAAAGGACGAGTGTACTGCGCAGTGGTTCGCTCCGTCTTACTTTATGGCTGTGAAACATGGCCAATGAGAGTAGAAGATATTCGTAGGTTACTGGTTTTCGATCATAGATGTCTTCTAAGCATTGCTCGTATATCGTGGGACACCCGAGTGAGCAACGCTGTTATTAGGAAACGGGTACTAGGTAAGAATGGCAGATCAATCGATGAAGTGGTGAAACTTCATCAGTTGAGGTGGTCGGGACACGTGTTGCGTATGCCTAACCACCGACTGCCTCGTCGAGCTTTGTTTTGTGGTGTAGGAATAGGTTGGAAGAAAGCTAGGGGCGGCCAGACCAAAACATGGCATAAATCCATGAAGTCATTGACGAGTGGACTTAGCCATGTTAACTCTAAGAAGATGTCTACGACAAAGTTAAACACGAATGGAGAGAGTGGACAGCCCCGACGGACACCACCTGATATAGGGAATTCCGGTGACAGTTCGCCATAAGCTCTCACTCGACCAGTAGTGTTCGAGTAGAGTGCTTGTATAAGGTTAATGTACTTCTTTGGTACACCTTTCAATGACATACACTGCCACAGAACCTCACGATCCACTGAGTCAAATGCCGCTTTCAGATCCAGGAACACGACTATAGTCGGACGTCTAAATGTGTGTCTGTGTTCGAGGAACCTATCGAAGTGTGAAGATGTGGTCTATACAACCACGTCCAGGTCAAAAACCAGACTGGTTTCCTCGAGTCTGCTCTTCACGAGCTCTAGTTAGACGTCTAAGTATAATCGAGTCTAACAATTTAGAAACTATATTAGTTAGACTTATTCCCCTGTGATTGTCACAAGAGGACTTTTGTCCTTTCTTGTGGATTGGGACAATTAGCGACTAAGACCAGTCAGATGGGAGTACGTCCAGTTCCCAGATTCTACCTAGGATCTCGGTCAGTCTAACTGTTAAAACTGGACCACCATCCTTAAACATCTCAGGGGTAATCCTATCAGGACCTGCTGCTATAACTCCCTTTAGATTTCCTATAGCTTTCTCAACTTCATGTAGACTGGGAGGACTTAAATCGATTGGCCATTCAGGATGACTGGGGATCGTGGGCAACCGAAGTGTGGCTCGAGGCCAGTTGAATAGATCCCTAAAGTGCTCTGCTCATCGGTCCAGCCTCCTGGATTGAGAATGGATAATAAGACCATCCTTTTCCGAAATAGTCTCACTCACATTCGGTTTCTTTGATAAGGCGGAAAAGTTGTCTACTGTTGCCGATCGCCGCTGCCTTTTCCATCGCTTTTGCTTTCGCCACCCACCACTGTTCGCGGTCGTTACGTAGGCTTTTTATAAGTCTGCGCCTAAGCTGACTACGCTCTCCATCATGTTCAGAGTCAGGTGGGGTGAGTTTTCGAGCATCCATCAGTTCGGTGGATGCGACTGAAATCCACGGCTTCATCCTAGCCTCATGGCTTACCTTGCTAGCAGATATCACTGCTGTTTCCACAGCCTTCTTGATATCATTCCAACCTGACTCCGGATGGGAATCACTTGCATGGTCGCCTAACTGTTTTTCTAGTTCCTCCTGAAATATTTTGTTAGCTTGATTATCACCAAGTAAGGCCCTAAGAGGCTTCCTTACGGTGTCTTTCCTACGTCCAGTAAGCCTCAAACAAATACGAGCTCACACTAGGGCATGATCTGAATCTAAACATGTGCCCCAGAATGAGCGGCTGTCCTCTATCGAACCCCTCCATCGGTGGCTGATGGCGATATGATCTAGTTGAGTCCAACGTTGAGACGACTTTGGAGGTCGCCAGGTCAAAAGATGTCTATCTTTATGCTTAAAATTAGTGTTTGCTAGGAATAGGCGATTATCTGAGCACAGTTGCAACAGACGGTCACCATTGTCTGTTCTTTGAGCCGCGACACCATGAGATCCACCCAGGTGTTTTTCCTGCTCACTTAGTCTACCTACTTGAGCATTAAAGTCACCAGCCATTATTACTATATCAGAGCGCCTAGCTACTTGGAGGAGGTCCGAAAGCTTTCTGTAAAACTCATCCTTAACCTCGTCTGAACTGCATTCAGTGGGGGCATAGGCAGATACGATGAAGAGGCAACGGCGATTGTCCCTATCTTTCCGAGTCCTTACTGTCCCGTTTAGTCGGACAGCGCACAAGCGACTATCTACTGGAATCCAGTCAAGGAGAGATTGTTCAGCTCTACGACTCAATGCTATGCCTACGCCAGCAAGACCCCTGGAAGCAGCATCAGGGCTTCCAGATACACGAAGAGTAAATCGATCTGCTTCTTTATTTTGACAAGATGAAATCAGATTAATAATTTTACTAGGATCCTGTATGCGCGTTTCCGAGACGCAGCATACATCGATTGAGCGAGATTCTAAAGTCTTAGCTAATAAAGCCTGTTTCCCTATTTGACACAATGTCCGTACATTAAAGGCTCCAACATGTAGTCTAGAACGGGGTTTCAAGAGACCAGGAATGACATTTCGTGAATTCGCTTCATCTGCATTAGCGGTGCAGTGAGAAAAGGGACTGTGAGTAGAGTTCGTTGTGGAGAGAAGAGATGTGTGTGTGGGTGTAGGAAGGATTTGATCTCGACCGATTTGGCCTCGTGTGCTGGTACGGGTATGAGGGCGGTTGTCACTTCCCGGCTGCCCACAACGTGGAAGGTTGTTTCTTGAGGAACCTGAAAAGAAAGGTAGATTAGCGTTGGTCTGAACGACCTGCGAGCGTGACCGCAGAGCCCAAGGGACAACTGCTTGAAGCCGTTCACGCACGGCCTGCTTATGAAGGGTTTTTTGAGTATTAGCTCCGCTCTTAAAGGCCTTTAGTGGGCACCCTTACCGACGGAGACGGAAATCCGTGAGGTAGGGTGAGGTGTGACATTTTTAGGGTCGACCTTTTCTAACCGTTCCTTCCTTGTGAGAAGGCAGCATCACTGCAGATGCTGGTTGTTCGAGGGAAACACCTTACTGCTGTCACACCCCTCCATCACAGTCAGCAGTACGACTTCGCCCTCAGACCTTGAGTAGCTGCTTTTAGTCTCACCGTTTTCCAATTGACCTGCCTGGCACGTTAGAACCTTCAGGAACATAAGTTCCAGCCAATATAGCTCGGTTGGGTCATCACTATAGGCAAGCCCGACCACCACGTCAAGGTAGCAGCTTCGCCCGGTTTAATAGGCTGTAAACCAAACTACCAGTTTATCCATAATTACTCAACTTGAATTTCAAAAACCGATAACTTAACAACAATTACTAGGTATCCAAGAAATGACAACTCCGAGAGAATAACTAACCGATTCCGAAACGTATTTAGCAATCTCAACTGACGTTACTCTTCAGGGGAGTAAAATCAAAATTTCAACTATTTAGGCTATATGTGTATGCATGTGAGCCACTCCTACTAGACTGTACCGATAAATACTAGTAATGATATGGAATAATTTTCAAACTGATAAAAAAGGAGTATTAAAATGTATCTATTTCTAAGTTTACGTTTTGAACGTCGTATAACGATCCAACAAATCTTTTCTCACTAAATAAATAATAAAAACCAAAAATTACTCAAAATATTTAATAAAGCGTATAAACGACTGTACACAAGTATCACTTCTTTTGAGTTTCTTCTCCCTCAACTGTTTTTATCAAGGTATCGACCTCACTTTGGTTGATAAGACGAACGTAAGTCTTCTCATTGCGTCTCTGTAGTACTCCGATCTCAACCTTAAATAAAATAACAAGGTGTTACGTCGCCGGATAGAGGAAATAAGAATTTTCACTGAAAGGAGGCTTACCTTTTCTGAAGTCAGTTTAGACATTGTCATTGTTTTATACAGGACCTTTACACACAACTTTGTGGCTTCTTCGACTGTCGCATCTGGGTTGTAATCTTGTTCTAAAATGGAACCCGCTGCAGTTGAATTCGACCCAATACATGTAGCGTTCCACCCAAGAAAATTCCCTGATGGGTCCGTCTGATACAGTTGGTAGCCATAACGCTTATCCCATCCGATGAACAACATGGAAACACCGAAAGGTCTTCTACCACCATACATGGTATAGCCGTGTTGAAGATCGCATATGTGACACACAAGTTGTTCCACTGGCATGGGCTCCTGATAAGACAAGAGATATCTACAATGAAGATAAAAGAGGTTTAAGAGGATATTCTTTTGTCAAGCAGTGGATTTAACTAACACTTATCTATAATCGCCTAGAGTAAAAAGATTCTGTCTCCATCTACTATTTACGATAAATGAAAAGCATACGTGTATTAAAAATATGGGTAATTAGCCTACAACTGTTTAAAGTATGCAGTGATAGATTTAACAATCGAAACTTATGTAAAACTGCTATGACGAAAGCCAGCTTTAGCTTTCAATGTGTCGTCTGCATAGGCTAAAATGATTAGTCTCCTTGCATAGGATAGTTGCACCAACTTGCGCTCTATGAAGGAAGTAACTTTAAGTGGTGCGAATTGAAGGGAGTCTTCAAAAGTCACGGGCTCGTGTGAGAAACCTTATTAATTAACAGTGCAGCAATAGACCTGACTCTAGTGCTAAACTCGTGCATTATTATCTGATGCATTTAAAGTGTTATTAGTCGGTTTTTTGTGATAGATTGATGGAGAGAGCTAGAACTGAGAGGTTTAGGCAATCTTTACTAATAAATTAGTCAAAATCGCGGTGTGACCGGACTCATATTTATCTACCGTCTCCGTTATTTTATAACTGTTCGTACAGGTCAGTTTGGATAAAGATTTGTCCTTATTTAATTCACATTTTTCTGAAGTCCTACATACTTATGCGTAATGAAAATGATAGCCTTGTTGACCATAAGAGTAGTACATTGATGGTGTACTCGATTTTGAACAGTGTGGTCGACGATTTTCAGTAATATAAAGATCAGTAGAAAGCTTATGTGTGGATTACGTAAATTGACTAGAAATAACAATAAGTGCTAAGCTCCACAATATATACTTCACCTAAGCTCAAAGATTGGCTAAGATGCATTTAAGTGAGCCAGAATCCACTTTATGTGTTTATCGGTTACGTTTCTTTTGCACAACGAAACATAGCGCATTATATTTTAGCTGCTAGAGCAGTTAATTCAGTATACTGACAAATCATTTACTTCATTCAAGTGAAACTAATTATAAAGGTTAGAATGCTTGAAAAAATATCACTTTAAGAAAATAAGATGCATCCTTTAAGTGGCGGTTTCCAAAGTTATGTTAAGTAGGCTAAAATGTAGGTATCAAGTGGAAGGCCATTTGGTGTCAGAGAGAATTGATTCTAAGGGATATTGGCCTTACAACAATTTCGAACCCTAGATAACGTAGATTAAAGTACCAAACGTTAAACTTTGGGTCTTAGGATGTTCGGTCACCATATAATAAACCTGTTTATAAATTCACATAAATATTTTGCTGAACCGCGATCAGTGATTGACGATATCAGATGACATGGCTCACAATCACCTGAATAAGTTCACTTTATTCTTCGCTAGATCTCGAATTCCAGTAGCTCTTCACATATTCCTTTTGTTATTTCTTAAAAATCTCATTCTCCGTTTAGTTTTCCTTTTTATCATTGCACCTATATTATTTTTCTCGTGCTAATCCAGTATGACGAATTGAGCTAACACATCTGCCCTACGGCCTATGTTGATGATACCCGTTTCTTTAGGGAATAAAGTCACTTCAATTCATCATAAAAACACGTCAAAACTACTGTAATCTAAGCGAATCAAACCCGAAATCCCTATAGCACTTTTACCATCACATAAAGCTTTGTTGTTGACAATCTTGGTTTTTCAGTTGAATTTCCGATAACATCATTGTTCACTGGAATGTAGCATACATACGGACAGTACTAGGATACACTAATTAAAACATTCCTCCAAAAAGGGTATCAAATCTTTTCTTAAGCATATGATGTGCAACCAACAAATGACATAAGGTCTTTTGACTTTTCAGTTATGATATAGAGAAGCTTATTTCACAGCTAAACTACCGTTGGTACTGTGTATATGATCTGCTAAGTATCGTAAAACGAAGAACATCTGAGTTGTACCACAATTTGTTTTAAAGAGTCTTATTTGATTACCACGCTAATCACAGGTCAGTAAGCCATCAGAATTGCGATACACGTGCTCAAGAGTTATACTGAAGGGATCTTCCTAGGATTTGTTGAATGTATGGGATAACCACCCCTCTGCCCATTGTCACTAACGTAATGATGCACAAAATGCCTGTGATAGGCTAAGGTTAACTCTGATAAGTCGGTGTGCGTATAATAGTACTCCATCATGAAGTATGCACACTACAAATGATATGGGAAGACCAGTTATTAATCATGAAAGCCTATGACAATAGCTGATAAGCAGTTCAAAGCGCATTTACAGCACGTAAATGATCTTATTACTTCTCGATCAAATGAACAAAAGCAAGACCAAACTAAGCGCTAGTTAATTTGTGTACAACTTCACTGAGATATGGTAGTGGGGAAAAAGTGGTGGTGACTTCAAATTTTTAAAAGCCTCTAGCCCCGAATAAACACATGAGTACATGGAACATTTCTTACCTTTGAGCAATAAGCCGCATTTCATTTATGAGAACTGTAGCATCAGCTGTAATACCAGCAACGGCGCAAGCGATGTCGTCATTGATTTTGTAGATCTTTTCTGAAAAAACAGTCTCATCCAGAAGGTTATTTATGAAGCGTTTTTCAGCAGCCAAAACTATCCCATCTTTTGCTACAATTCCTAAGCAAGTGCCTGCATGTCCCACAGCTTCCATTGCATACTCCACTTGATACAAACGACCTTAAACAAGACTTAGATTACCTCATAATGTATTAACCAACCTTCAGGGGAGAAAATTGTCGTTCTTGTGTCATATCTACGAGCCTTAAGACAAAGTAATAAGAAGTAAACGAAACTAACCATTACTCAAGATATATTTCGTTCCAAGCGCGGATTACGGAGGGGAGTCGAACAAGACCAATATCCAATATCTTTTTCACGAGCTGGTGTGAACCAGTTGATTTCTTTGCGCTCGATTCTTGTCCTTTCGGTATGGTTCCAGATGTTTGGTAGTGTTCTGTGAGTGTAGATCTAGCCACTCGACTGTCTAATTCTAGGCAGTTGGCAATTGGTTGTGAGTCTGTATGTCTCGGGATTTGAATGAAAACGTTTTTCTCAGAGCAGTAGGGTTTATGGATACCAGCAGCTATCACATCACCATACCGGATATCAGTTAGTTGCAATGTGGAGGGTAATAAGGATAGTGAGGATAAAATTCTAATGCTAATATGAACAAAATTTCAGAACTAAGTAATATATGGGTGAATTTAGTTTATTTAATTCATTATCTTTTCCATGAGCTAGTGTGAACCGAGTAATTTCTTTGCGATCGATTCTTGTTCTTCTGGTACGGCTCCAGGTATTTGTCAACGTTCTTGATCCGTCGAATAAGTCACTAATAACCACATAGTATTGTATTTTAGGTTCAAAACCCTTGGATCGGTGTATGAATGCAAAGTTATAAGTTCCAATTACTGTTACTACCGCACATCTTATGTGGCTTATTACCTTAAGTAATCTCTCTTCACTTTTCAACTAAATGCCACTTCTTAGCGTGTGTGGGTTGAGATCAGCTACGTAATTACCTTAGACATAATGATTACATATGTTGAGTTGAATGATGACCTTACGGTAGTTACGGAATTTCCTCAGTCATATAACAACGTTACACATCTGAATTCGGAGCGGGTGGTATCAATAAATGGCTCAGTGCAATAAATAATTATGCACGCATTCAACGACTATGCCGTTCTTTGTAGACTTGACTAGTTTTACTAGCTGAAGGTGCTTTGTCAAACATTACCACCAAAACGCTTCATGATCTGGGATCAAATACTTCTCGTACTCCAGGTTCGCAGTTACTTGCAACTTAATAGGTGCCAACGATTGAACACGTTTTACACTGTAACCGAAGTTGATTTCTCTTTGTTCATCTTTTGAGATTGCTGTAAATACTTGAAATTCAGTAGGACACAATTATGCAGCATCCATTGCATCTTGATGAGAAGCTTTAATTTAGGTAAGACTGTCAAGTGCTAGTGAATAGACTCATGATTAAACTCTTAAATACTAGTTGCTCGATCAACAGGTAAACAGAACATTCAACGAGTACAGAAGTTAAATCTCTCAATACTTTTAATGTGGTGTCCATCTACGATATTTTACATTCATTTATGTAATCACAAGACCATTCTACTTGGGTTGTGAAACTACACAAAAATAAAACATTTTCGCACACCGATCCTCAAAACTCAGTGCCAATTGATACCATCTTAATAATATTTTTAGTGCCAAATTTTAGTGTACATTCGTCGTTATTTCTGCCCAGAAACCGTTGGAAATTTATTTCATCTACCGCAGTATATTACAAATCGTAATGAACAGGCTATTTCTGTCATTTAATGTGTGACTTATCACGTCTTTTGAAGCTGACATTGTTATTCTCTGTCGATGAAACAGTTTGCAATATATATCACTGAAAAATATCACCAGGAAATATATATTGTATTGCCTGGAATCAGCTGGTATCTCTCAGTACCGAGTAACGACTCAAACAAGTGCAGGTAATATCCATGACATCTATTATTTATGAAAATCGTTTGAAATAACTCGTTCAGCAAGATACTGCGTAACACGTTTTCAACTCATTTTGACGTCTAGTTCAAGTTATTAGATTCACTGTATATATTTTAGGTGGAATGGTTAAATCACCCTGAAAAATCCTTTCACAGTACTTCGATATTATTCATTTACTTTTCGATTGCCAACAAATATCAGACACTGGAGTGTGCGATGAGAAGCTTTGATCTTAGAGATGACAGATTTTCTTTCTTCTGCTAAAGTCTGGACAGGCTGTAAAAGTCCTCTCGAAATCTTACTATTACACCTATACTAATCACGTTTTTTACTCTGCTTCACACGTTTGAACTTCATATAGACATCTAAAGGATCTCAACGTGTCGTATGAAATATTTACATAACTAATCAACATTTCACAGAGAATATTTTAGCGATTTTAACATTTTGGTCTTGTCTCTAAACTGTCATGCCCCTTGTAACAAGTTTTTATTCGAGAATAAATTATTTTTACTATTCAGAAATGAAACACAACAGAAGGCCTACATTTGTTGAGTTGCTTCTAGACTAATAACAGGAAGTAACGGACGTAAAAACTAATTTGCAAAGAGTACCAGAATCTCATAGACACTAGGATTGTTCTGGAAGAAACTACTGGTCTGTAACAGTATAAGATGAACTGTAATACCTATCAGTTTCCAACTGCGATTTTATTAATGATACTAACATTTATTTGTAGATGTTCCAATCCCATGGATTTTTGTGAATTTTGCAGTGTTCGTATTAAGGGGTGACTGCATATACACTATTACGAGCTCCATTCATATAAAACCAATAAAGTTTACGTCATTCTTTCCGACTTAGTCCTCGGTGTCTTCACAACCACTACAGTAGGTGCTAGATAGTCCTAACCATTGACAGGTTGTATATTCCTTTCAATTCTGTTACTTCTACTGATCATCTTTTCCTAGGAGTTCCGACCAAGCTATCTTATTGTTGCAGTCATCAATGTCATGTTATAAACAATATTGAAGTGTACATGGGATGTTCAAGATTTTATGACACCACATGAGCACTACAAATGTTGATTCATGATAAGTCGGGGAGCTTCGTGCGTTTTCATAAAGCATTTCAAACCTTATTATTTTGGACCATGCTGTCTCAACATTTGGTAAAAACACGTATTTGCTTTACTATATTCCTAAAATCCGTGAACAGTAATGCAGCACATTCAACTCCAGTCTACACAGTCAACTCAGTGGCACCGATCCATCTGCAATATCAACTGTTAATTGAGAGATTATCAAAATGAATTTATAGAACTCGGTAATTAGCCCTGAAATTTTCTAAAAAACTCATCAGTTTCTTAATGTTAGCACGCCTAACAGTAATCATCTGTGACCTCCGAATACTTAGACTGAAACTTCCACTTATCTAATATTTTCTTCCAAAAATCATGCCATCAGAAACTGACTTTTATACTTAATTTAACTGTGGTAACTTTTGCAGTAAATGTGAAAGCATTTGTGACAATCTGATCTAGCCTGTAAACTGGAATGCCTCTTGTAACGTACTATAATTTGAGAATAAAAATTATTTTTACTATAGTCTGAAGAATAATGGTTATCTAATATCAGAACAAAATTTGTTCCTTGCGCCAGTAGGTTTATGACGTATTCCTTAGGATCATACAAAATACCTTAACTAGTAAAACTGATAGGTCATGTAGCAGATACAGTTACTTCAAAAAAATCAACACAGTCGTTTTGAAAATGATATCAAGTCAATTAATTTGCCGAAGAACAGAAGAAAATGTATTCTTAACAGATTACGTACATTGTTAAGTGGTCTTATAACTAAACAACCCCACCTGTAGCCCTTCTACCGTTAGTGTCGATCCCCAGCCAGGATAAAAGAGGAGGATCGATCATGCGGTATGCAACCCCAATCCGAAACAAACCGACTTCCTGAATTTATTTTACCCGGAAAAAATAATTCAAATAATTTAATCTGCCTTGGTTGTTAGGTCTTCATTCAGTAGAGGTATGACTTCTAATGACGAATTGCGGGTATCTTCAGGAGTTACGAGGCCAATGCTTCTTTTCACAACCAGAGCAACCAACCATATAAGCATATGGAATTTTTATATACTGTTGAAGACCAGGAGAACGTTTCAATTTGTTACTGAAATGAAACGACACAATCTGCTGTTACTTTTTGTTATTGAAATACTTTGGATTCAGGTTGGAAAAAACGGTTAGTTCTAGGAATGATGCTGTTATTAACTGGCCGTGAAGAAGAAAATAACCCACAAACATTAGGATTTGCACTGATGTTGCTCAAGAATCACGTTTGAACCAAGAGGTCAGATCAACTCAACGTGATGGCCGAAATCAAACGGATACTAAAGTAGTAATGGATGGACGATAGGGAGCTTTTTCGGGATTCTGTGACGGTGTCTGTCATTAAAAGGTGTACCACAGAAGTACATTAACCTTAAAAAAGTTCTCCACTCGAACGCTACAGGTCGAGTGAGAGCTTATGACGAACTGTGATCGGAATTCTTCACTTCAAGTGGTGTCCATCATGGATATCCATTTTCTCCACTCTTGTTTAGTTTTGTCATAAACCTGCTTCAGTATATACCATTATCTTCGTCTGACTTTTCAGTAGACTTTCTACCAGGAAATTCACTGGTTAATTTAGAATACGCCGATGACATAGTTCTTTTTGGTGAAGACGCTGATAACATACTGTCTACTGACTAGCATTAGCAACTAAGCCTAAGCCTATGCAAGCATGTTCGGGATGCGAATGTTGCTTCAGGATTGGATTGTATCTGTACCGGAACTAGTGATAGGGAGTGAAATGGTCGAAGGGGTAGACCGCCTCACTTATCTCGCGGGTCTCACCACTGCCGAAGTCCACTCTTTGTGTTCTCTGAAACTGTAATCTTCTGAATTTCTCACCATGTCTGTCTTTTTCTTTTTAACCTTATCTCATTGAATTATTGTTTTGAAATATGTCTTCTCTATGACTACTGCTAATATTTCTACTATCTCTACCACTATGGGATTTGAAATGACAGTTGCTTCTGTGTGCGAATGTGGTTTGGGGACCTCAACTGATGTACCTACGTACGAAGTTCTACGTTGTGACTGACTTGCTGACGATTCGAATAATGAGGAAAGACACGTAAATAAAACAATACTTAGCAAGACCATGATAAAAAGGAATTAAGAAGATATGATAATATCCAAACTAGAAAAATGTCGGGGTTACGTTGAAGGCACAATAGCTTTGGAATAAAACTGAGTGTGATAGCGAATAATATATCAGACGAAAGCTAAAGATTATCTGAGTAAAATTTGAACAAAAGTAAATTTTAGTATATGACGTTTAGGCACAATTTGTCCGAAATTAGCTCCCGTTGTTTGACACGTTACGTTACACCTAGTATGATCACTGATGATGATTCAGGACATCATGACACCCTAAAAAATCCATTCTTAAGCGTGATAACTAACCGATTGACGAAGGTTTGACCTAATTTTCCATAACAGTGTTCGAAAGTAGAAAGTTTGCTACATGTGAGAGAGGTTAGTAGTTTATTAACGTCCTGCGAAGACTAATGCTGACAGCTCTTTCCGTCTACACCTCTTTAACAGGTACGTGTTGTCCTCATTCCCTACTCTCTGTAGGCACTGAGGCTGACGCAGTCATTCCCTCGTCCACAATATGCATGAAAAGATTAGTGCTAGGTTACCAGGTTGATGAAAAAAGGAATGACCAAGGAAGTGTTTTTACTGATGTAAATTCAAGACACTCCAGGTTACATGATAATATATCTGTCTTGCTGAACGATGACTGATTTAGGACCTAAGATTATGTATCATTTCTATAACTGACATGCAGTTAGATCGTGGTGGTTTTTATTTCAATAATACTAGTAATTTTGGAATTATTTGTTCTTCTGCTGATACATCGGAACATTAAAAACATCACCTGTTCGTATAAACGAATCTTTACCGTGGGTAATCCTAATGGTAGATGCCAATCTATATGAGTTACACCAGCTGCCACCTTTTATTTAACGTTTTTGTGATATGTAGCTGAGTTGATTTCCATAGAAGCATGTGGAAATAAGCTTTCTGTTCAGAATGGTTACCGATATTTCCATTCAATTATTAAAACACCGATTAGTTTTGCTCAGAATGTGCCTGACGGCTCAAAATTTCACCAGATGGCCGTGGTCGTTTGATCTATCAAACGCGTAGTTAGCACAGACTAGAATAAAATTTCATCTTTTGTAAATGATTTTAATGTAACCTCCTGATAATGCATCGAACTGGGTAATTTCTTCATACACCGTTTCAGCTAGACAGGTAGCTGGTCACAGGTAACAAATGAACCGTAGGAAAAACGAATAGATTTAATTTATTCTGTCTTTGTAACATCTGAGCTCACATCCATACTTTCAAGTTAATGGATGAAAATTTACTGATAAACCTCTGAAGTAACACTTGATAACAACTACTTTCGCTACCCGATTTCTAAGGCCCGAGTCACTGTCTAGCCAGGTGAAGCTGATCAGAATAACAAACTCTACCTTTTAGATAAGGAAAGGTTCTTTTACATGCAGCGAAAATCAGAAGAATGCTACAGTTTGATATTTTAATGGAACGGGTTTCTTGAAAATGACTTATATTCTATTGTTAGTTCGACCAGCTGTGTAACACTAAAGATATTCTGGAGCGCTATTTGATGTGCTTTCGATTGTACGACGCTTTTGTCGTGATGCTTTTTTTCTGAAATATGGTGAGTGGTCCTAACTATTTTCATACAGAGAGGTCTTAAATACTAATTATTCTAATTGGTACTTCAGTATAGGTAATGTTTTGTTGAGGTGGGTTATGTAGCTTGGTTAGTTGAGATGACAGCTTCATCCGTTGCTATCATATACTCAGTAGTAATTTTCCTTGTAATGAAGTAGGAGAGATACACTGAGCACTCCTAAAGAAATACCACTATCTTTCAATCACAAAGTAACAACTCATCATTCTGGAACAAGCTAGTACACATGTTACTTTTGGTTAGGTGTTGGAAAAGCATTTTTACAAAATAACTCTTGTTACCCCCTTACGAAAGTATGAATTAGATACACATTAACAATCCTACTTCTCACGTTTGTATTTTTTTCTAATACCTGACGCCCTCTTGTTGTGACTTACATATTATAATGTCTCAGGCTTACGAAACTGAGCATTAGAAAGTTACATGGTGTCCAATAAAAATCGCCTTTCTGCCTTTTCGGTGCGTACCTTGGTTGTTGTAGTCGTGCTTTTACCTATCCTTATGGACCTTTCTATGGTATTTCGGTAGTTGGTCAAAGTAAACAAAATGCTGTTCTAGTATTAGTTGCTATTACGAGGATGTAGTTAGGAGATATGTAATAAGTATTTGATGGTGAACGCTCTGTCTGTTTATAATTTGCATAGTGTCAGCTATCCCACAAAATATACAAATTTATACTGCCTGAAACATTTTAGAACAATGTGTTGAATACCATATGTTATTGTCTTGACCAAATGAATGCTTATTAATTAACCTAGATTACTTTTCAGAAAAAAAACCTAGTTATCAATCAAAGGTTTGTCGAATATTCAGGCTGACATCAGTAATATTTGAGGCTTATGAAATTAATATTCGATACTACAGTTATTAGCGTATATCTTGTGATGTTTTCTATATGCTAGGCTGTAAAACATGTGCTTAGAGTCAAAGACATAAGCTGCATAAATGCTTGCAAAGCATTAGCTTATTATGAAGCAACTTAATACTTGCGTTAAATCATAGGGTCCTAGGTCAATATATAAAATCAGTTGTTGAGGTTGTAAGTATTGATTAGTAGATGTGGCTAGAACATCCGTTAATCATGCCTAACCGCTATCCACTCTTATGGGTGATGCTTGCGATGTAGAAAATAATTAGGAATGTAGGGGCAGCCAAATCAAGACGTAGCATAACAACATGGATTCACTGTTGATGCAAGCCGTGTTGATAGATCGTGATGAGTAGCAAGTTGATATGTGCTACGAGGAAAGGTTATAAGCAATCTGAAGCGAGGAGAGCAGCATAGTCCGACAGGCTAACCCCTAAGATTTTTAAAGACAGTGGTCCAGTCTTAGCAGCGAAGAAGAATATGGGAATCAGATGGAGTTCCTTCTGACTGGTTTCAATCACTGATTGTCCCATTCTATAAGAAAAGACAAAAGCCTAATTGTGACAATCGCACAGGAGTCAGTTTAACTAATATGGTGTCTAAGATATTGGCTTCAATAACACTTAGGCACCTAACTACAGCTCATGAATAGCAAGCTTGAAAAAACCAGGCTGAATTCAGACCTGAACGTGGATGCATACATCAGATATTCACGCATCACCATCGCATTCTGACATCAAACAACAGTTGCGTTCCTGGCCCTTAAGGTGGTATTCTACTCCGACGTTCGTGAGGTTCTATATCAGTGCCTGTCATCAATTTTTTACTGAACTTTGTCACAGACGTGCTTTTAGAGTTGACACTTTCGTCGTATGACTTCTCAGCAAGCAGTTGACCTTCTACCAGGAGATTCACTGTTTGACTTGGAATATGCCAATGACATAGTTTTGTTTGGTGAAGACGTTGACACTTTTGCTTTCGCCACCCACCACTGTTCGCGGTCGTTACGTAGGCTTTTTGTAAGTCTTTGCCTAAGCTGAATACGCTCTTCATCATGTTCAGAGTCAGGTGGGATGAGTTTTCGAGCATCCATCAGTTCGGTGGATGCGACTGAAATCCATGGCTTCATCCTAGCCTTATGGTTTACCTTGTTAGCAGATATCACTGCTGTTTCCACAGCCTTCTTGATATCATTCCAACCTGACTCCGGATGGGAATCACTTGCATGGTCGCCTAACTGTTTTGCTAGTTGTTCCTGAAATATTTTGTTAGCTTGATTATCACCAAGTAAGGCCCTAAGAGGCTTCCTTACGGTGTCTTTCCTACGTCCAGTAAGCCTCAAACAAATACGAGCTCGCACTAGGGCATGATCTGAATCTAAACATGTGCCCCAGAATGAGCGGCTGTCCTCTATCGAACCCCTCCACCGGTGGTTGATGGCGATATGATCTAGTTGCGTCCAACGTTGATACGACTTCGGTGGTCGCCAGGTCAAAAGATGTCTTTCCTTATGCTTAAAATTAGTGTTTGCTAGAAATAGGCGATTATCTGAGCACAGTTGCAACAGACGGTCACCATTGTCTGTTTTCTGAGCCGCGACACTATAACATCCACCTAGGTGTCTTTCACTTTCACTTAGTCTACCAACTTGAGCATTGAAGTCACCAGCCATTATAACTATATCAGAGCGCTTAACGTTGGGCCCAACTAGATCACCTTGCCATCAGCCACCGATGGAGTGGTTCGATAGAGGACTGTCTCTCGTTCCAGGGCACATATCTAGATTCAGATCATGCCCTAGTGCGAGCGCGTATTTGTTAGAGACTTACTAGATGTAGGAAAGAAACAGCAAGGAAACCTCTTAGGGTTCTAACTAATTATAGCAGAACTATGAATGTATCTCAGGAACAACTAACAAAACAGTTTGGTGGTCATGTCAGTGATCACCATCCGGAGGCAGCTTGGAATGATATCCGAACGACTGTGGAAACAGCTGTGACATCTGCTAGTGAGGTAAACCATAAGGCTAGGAAGCAGGCGTATATCTCAGTCGCATCCACCGAACTGATGGATGCTCGAAAACTCATCCCACCTGACTCTGAACATGATGAAGAGCGTATTCAGCTTAGGCGCAAACTGCTAAAAAGCCTACGTAACGACCGCGAACAGTGGTGGGTGGCGAAAGCAAAAGCAATGGAAAAGGCAGCGGCGATAGGCAACAATAGGCAACTGTTCAGACTCACCAAGGAAACTGGTATTAGGAACCCAAATGTGAATGAAACTATTTCGGAAAAGGATGGTCTTATTATCCATTCTTACACCAGGAGACTGGACCGATGGGCAGAACACTTAAGGGATCAGTTCAACTGGCCTCGAGCCACTGCTCGGTTGCCCACGATCTCCAGTCATCCTGAATGGAAAATCGACGTACGTCCCCCTAGTCTTAATGAAGTTGAAAAAGCGTTAGGAAATCTGAAGCGAGGGCGAGCTGCAGGTCATGATAGACTGACCCCTGAGATGTTTAAGGATGGTGGTCCAGTTTTAGTAGCTAGGTTGACTGAGATCTTAGGTAGGATCTGGGAACTGGACGTAATCCCATCTGACTGGTCTCAATCACTGATTGTCCCAATCTATAAGAAACTGTTAGTGAGCACTGCCTAATCTATTATCAATATCATTCGACGCTTAAAGAAAGCTCGTGAAGAGCTAACTCGAGAAAACCAGGATGGTTTTCGACCTGGACGTGGCTGTATAGACCACATTTTCACACTACGACAGGTCCTGGAACACAGACACACATTTAGGCGTCCTACAATAGTTGTTTTCCTGGACCTTAAGGCGGCATTTGACTCAGTGGATCGTGAGGTTCTGTGGTAGTGTCTGCCATTGAAAGGTGTACCAAAGAAGTACATTAACCTTATACAAGCACTCTACTCGAACACTACTGGTCGAGTGAGAGCTTATGGCGAGCTGTCACCGGAATTCTCTACATCAAGTGGTGTCCGTCAGGGATGTCCACTCTCTCCATTCGTGTTTAACTTTGTCGTAGACATCTTCTTAGAGTTAACATTAAGCTCGTCAGATTTTTCAGGGGTTGACCTTCTACCAGGAGAGTCGCTTACTGACCTAGAATATGCCGATGACATAGTTCTATTCGGCGAAGACGCTGACAAAATGCAGTCTTCTGACTACCATAAGCAATAATGCGAGCATGTTCGGGATTTGGTTTTCCCCCTCGAAATGCAAAATGTTGTTTGAAGACTGGGTTGCATCGGCACCTGAACTAGCGATAGGGAATGAAATAGTCGAGCGTGTTGATCGCTTCACTTATCTGGGGAGTCTCATCAGCGCTGATAGCCTGGTGACTGACGAAATTTCAGCACGGAAACAGAAAGTTCGATTGGCTTTTGCCAACCTGCGTCACTTATGGGGAAGGCGAGATATCCGTTCGCTGACCAAAGGACGGGTGTACTGCGCAGCAGTTCGTTCCGTTCTCGTATATGGATGCGAAACATGGCCATTGAGAGTAGAAGATATTCGTAGGTTACTAGTATTCGATCATAGATGTCTTCGACGCATTGCTCGTGTATCCTGGGACACCCGAGTGAGCAGTGCTGTCGTTAGGAAGCGGGTGCTAGGTAAGGATGGCAGATCAATAGATGAAGTATTGAAACTTCATCAATTGAAGTGGTTGGGACATGTGTTACGTATGTCTAACCACCGAATGCCTTGACGAGCTTTGTTTTGTAGTGTAGGAGTAGGTTGGAAGAAAGTTAGGGGCGGCCAGACCAAAACATGGCAGAAATCCATGAAGTCACTGAGAAGTGAACTGAGTCATGTTGGTAGATGTAGGCTACTTGGTTGGGGTCCGCGAGATGATAATAATCGATGGTTGGAGACCTTGAACGACATGGCTAAAAATCGTTTGCAATGGCGCCGGTGCATTTATTCTTTGTGTTCTCTCAAATCCTAATCCTCTGGATTATTCAAAACCTCTAGTTTTGACCTTCTAAACTTTTCTCACTGAATGATACTTCTTGAATAATATCTTCTAATCCTAACCTCTCCGATTACTTCTACTAACCTTACTACCTCTTCTACTATTGTATTTGAATTGACAATTATATCTCTGTGCTGATGTGGTATGGCAACATGAACTGATGTACCTACGTACGAAGTTCTACATTGCATCTGACTGACTGACTGTGGATCGTGAGATTCTATGGCAGTGCCTGTCATCAAAAGGTGTCTCTCTCACTGCCATCGCTACCACACTATTTTTTATTTGTTGCTGATTGTTAGTTTTATGTCGTCCTGTTAATGTGGTCCTGCGTTGGCTTAACTAGTTTAGATTTAGTCTCATGTGCTTTTCGGGTATGACGGCGGTTGTCACTTCACGGTTGCCCACACCGTGGAAGGGTACTTCTTGAGAAACTTGACAAAGATTGTAGATTAGCGTTGGTCTAAGCGACTTGGGGGCTTGATCGCAGTGCTCAAGGGAAGACTACCTGATGCCGACCACTCACGGCATTTCTGTCGGAAGTTTGTAAAGTGTTAGCTCCTCTCTTTAAGTAGCCTTATCGCCGGAGACGGAAATCCGTGAGGTAAGGTGAGGTGCGACATTTTTAGATTCGACATTTTCTAACCCTTCCTTCCTTGTGAGAAGGCAGCATCACTGCAGGTGCTGGTTGTCCAAGGGAAACACCTTATTGCTATCACATTCCTCTACAGTCAGCAGTAATCATGTCATGGTAGAACCTACAAGAACATACGTTCCAACCGATATAGCTCGGTTGGGTCATCATGATAGGCAAGCCCGACCACCACGTCAAGGTAGCAGCTACGGTCACTTACATTACTTTTGCCACCGGAAGTAAATTGCCGACGTTCAGATATATTGCTGTCTACGTAATGGAACATAGAGACAAGATTGTTTTTTTGAATTCAGAATTTCTTAAATTCACTCGAGTGTAATTCAAAAACTAAAATAATCCAATATAGCCCGGTTGTTTGAAGAAAATACATTTCCTTAGTAAACTAGTTAACAGGATGATAGTTTAACAAAAATAATTTATTTTCACCTTCCTAAACTTACTACCATAATAATTCCACCCTTAGAAGACCAATGATCAATAGCTTTAGATGAGACAGGATCTAAAACAGTACCTTCACTAATATTAGTTCCTCCAGAAACATCATAAAAGGCAATTAGTAATTTTCCACTCGTTACAGATTGTAAGAAAGCAAAACGTGTACCTCCAGTTTACGATTAAAAATTCGATACAGTTACTTTAACTTCCAACTGATGAACAAGATATAAATTTTCTCTCAAACGAACGATTTCAAATTTGCTGTAGGTACCCACATGTTTCAAGTCAGTCAATCAATCAAGTAATTACTATGTTGCTTGGAATACTTCACTTGTTTCAGTCAACTACCTTAGAACTAGTTCACACATTCCCATCAGAATCACTATCTACTATCTGACTAGTTGGACATTTTCGGTTAATACTACTAAGCCTTCTCAAAGTAACTTTCTGAATCTACAAAATTTGTAGTCACTAAACAGTATTTTTCAACAATACTCAAGTCTACTAGGCTTATTGGTTTCGTCTTTCAGTCTTGTAAATTATGATCGACTATTAGTAACTCGAAATTGTAGAGCCAGTCACTTTGTATACTTGCATCCACTGTCACGTAAGATCTGTATTAGTACCTGATATAGATAAACCATGTGCCAAAACTGACCTTTGTTTTACTATGGTTGCTTAAACCACTTAGTAAAATAATTAAAGTTTATTGATTCGATACATCATGATCACCAGTGTCCATAGGTGTGATATATGTTTTGCACCTTCCAAGTGTAAAGTACTTTTACGAGACTGGTAGGACCCTGAACCTGTACTCGCTCTTGGTAGTGAGCAGATAGAAGTAGTCAAAAAGTTCATATACCTGGGTAAGTGTGTAAGTGCTGGTGTTGTGAGTGATGAGATTGATTCATGTATAGGGAAAGCCATAGTGGCTTACGTCAATCTGGGCCATCTTTGGCTCCGTGATAATGTGTTAGTTGTCAATGGTTGGGTCTATAATGCGTTGATTAGAGCAGTTTTATGGTGCTTGTGAAACCTGGTCTCCTAGTTGAAGATATTATAAAGCTTTCTTTGCTCGATCACTGTTGTCCCTGAAAGATAGCTGAAGTTCACTGGCAACATCGTTAGCAATTCAGAGGTTCGGCAACGTGTGTTCGGACACTGCATCGATGATTCAACTGGTGTCATCATCTTGAAATATCTACTTTGATGGCTTGATTACATACTACGAGTATCGTGCCTGCGAGTTCCCCATCGCACATTATTTATCAAGTCTGGGACTGGTTGGAAAAAGCAAGGGTGGTCAGTGGTTGATATGATGTCGCGGTACACAAGGAAGCTGTACAGGACTGACATCTGTTGGTTCTTCACGACTCCCTGGTTGAGCCCCTAGAGATGGTCTAATGCAGTTGCTTGAGATGATATCAGACATGGCTGAGAATATAAGCCAGTGATTGTCCTTATGTGACTTTTTATTTCCCTAACGGAATTGTTTCTCCCACTATTAATACTATTAATTCACTCTCATACACTAATTTCCAACTCCTTTTCCTTTATTCTCACTGTTTTTTCTCTGTCTCTTCATAATCTAGTTTTTTATTGTGGCATATATATGTTTTTGTGCCTACTTGCATTAATATTTGTGTTCCGAATAAATAAAAAAAATCACTGGTGAAACGAATAGTACATTGGGTTAACTTTACTCTTACTGTTGAAACCGCTACTACTTTTGATCACTAGGAGTAATTCCATGAGGTTTTTTATAACGCTTTTCGATATTACCTTTTAAAATTTATTCCGTTCATTCGCTTGCCAATGCTATATTGATATTTTATTTTAATTGACAAATTAACAGTTCCCTATTGCATCTACTCAATAACTAAAACTATTAATTCTTATCTGGTAGCTACATCAATAATTCTGCGTGTCCTGTTCAATGTCAGGAAGCCTCATTAGTCAGCGTGAAGAACAGCCTGTGTTGGTCCTTACTTGTCAGCGAGATTCACATCCTTTTCAGGATCGTACAATTATACTAAATGAAGTAATAAAAGTTGGACGTTCTGTAGCTCGCGCCAAACCTGCAAAAAACAATGCTATCTTTGACTGCAAAGTTTTGTCACGAAGTCATGCACTTATATGGCACAAAGGAGATCGCGTATGTTTTTGAATACTTTGTCGATCTCATTTACAGTTTTGGTTACGTGATACAAATAGTAGTAATGGAACTTTTGTCAATAACACACGAATGGTCAAGAAAAATGATGAGGAGTTTGCTGATCGTGAGATATTTTCCGGTGATATCATTCGTTTCGGAGTAGATGTTGTTGAACATGACAGTAATTTATATTGCCAAGCTAATATTTATCCTTAGCAACTCACGGCTGCATCATAGCTCAAGTCGCTTTGTATCATCCTAGTGGAGCAGAAGCGAAACAAAAGTAAATAAATTTTTAGTTTTATCTGCTTGATAGCGTTGATCCTGTCAGTAATAATAATGCTATGACTGGAATCGATACACTTCATACTGAACAAATGTTCCGCTTCGCTCATTACATTAGCGTATGTTTATCGGTTTAGTTTATTCACTACTGGTTTTCAGGAGGCTTTATTTCGGGAACAAGTTTTGGACACAAAACTGGAGTCTATCAAACGACTCTTACATGAAGCACAAGAAATTTCCGAAGCTGGTTGGCAAGTAAGTGTAAGTGCTTTATCATTCTATCATCTAGTCTATGGTGGATGAAGATCAACTTTTGGAGAAGCTGAGTCTTTATGAAAGCCAACTGTCTTTATTAAAGCAGGTGAGTTTCCTATTTACAAGCAAGCTTTTTAATATTAGTTTTGGATTTTGTATATATACTCATATGATTTGTATTTGTTATCTTTTTGTTTCAAGAATTTGCCTGAGAATTCGTTACAGTCACATCTAATGCAAGCTCTAGAAGAAAAATTCAATCTTGAAAAAGCCAGTAAAATAATGTTGGAACGTTTATTAAACGAAAAAGCGGAAGTTTTTAGCAAAGCTACAGATCTTGAGGTACGTCCATGCTGTTTCAGTTATTCGTAAATTTACGTCAAACAAGCATTAAGAACCAATAACTAAGCTTGTTTTTCTTCGTCCTGAAACTACAAAAATCCATCGCTTTAGTTGTTTTCACAGATTCATGAAATTTTTCGCAATTATATCAACTTGGGGAACACTAAACCCTATATATGATGAGTTTCACTTAAACGTCACTTTTTCTCAGTGTTCCTATTAATAAGGAGCATAACAAATGGTACAGAATCCTCAAATGATGGTCTTCAGTAGCACTAAATTTTGAAGTAGCATGTATATCGTGTTAGTTGTTTAATGTCAGTAGTGAACTATAGATCGATTTTAAGTCGATTAATGTATGTATAAGATTTATAAGTCATCTTTCACTAATTAGATCATGAATTTTGATCTAACTCTAGCTACCAAGGTTTATTATATACCAGGATGGCTCCATTTTGGGTATTGCATTTACTCAGTAATAGATGTTTTAATTGTTTTTCTTGAAGTAGTACAGCTTAAGGAATTAATGCCGAGATAATTTTGATCTATAAATAATTTTCATCATACTAATTGGAGGTGTTCAACTGATACACACTAATGTATGTCTAAGTGTGACTTCTCGAGAATTGTGAACCAATATTCTATGTTCTTATGTATGAGCTCGGTAGAGCTTTTTACAATTCTACCGGTATGACACGACCAAACTTGACAGTCCAAGTTTTCTTTTGAAATCATGTATTTTTACCCGCTGAAATCTAACCACGATAAAATTACTGGGAATGCAAATATATATATATATATATATATTTAAATTATTTATTCAGTCAATATGTTTTTATCAATTTTATGACATAACTTGCCATTAATTTCCACGTAGATTGATATTAAAAGAACAATGTCACTCCTAACGTCGTATTCCATTCATGCATGAAATCGTTGACTAAACTTGGTTTATTAAATTTTTGATATAGCATTACATTGGCTTTTACAAATTCTTTGTATTTGCAAAAATGTATTCATATTGTAGCATTCCTTGGTCGTGTCTCAACAAGAGTGCATTCGCCTACGTCAAGACTACGAGAAAATCCACGAAGCCTACCAGAATTTGGCGAATGATAGGCAGCTGAAGCACGTGGCATCAGAGGGATCAAAGGTAAGCCTCATCATAGGCTAGTTGTAACTTCTAAGTCAATTTATTAATTTTATGGGCTACATTTTCTCATTAGTTGATAATAATAAAATTTTACTTAAGATCACTGTCGTAGAGTTGAAAATACAGTCGCCTGACCACCTCAGACAACAATGTTAACATGTTCGGGATACGATTTCCCCCCTCGAAATGTAAAATGCCACTTCAAGATTAGCTTGCGTTGGCTGCTGAATTAATGATAGGGAGTTAAGTAGTCGAGCTCAGTGGATCATTCCGTCCTACTACACAGGTGTGAAACATGGCCATCAAGCAAAGAGGACAATCGTAGGTTACCAGTGTTCGATCATAGGTGTCTTCAAAGCACTGCTCATATATCGTTGGACCGACGAGTAAGCAATGCCAGTGTTAAGAAGAAGTTAATAGATAAGGCTGACAGAACAGTTGATGAAGTAGTGAGGTTGTTGAGGTTGTTAGGACACGCCATGTTAATAAGTGTAGACTACGTATTTGGGCTCCGAATAATAATGGTAACCGGTGGTTAGAGACTATGAATGACATGGCTCGAAATCGTTTGTAATGAAGCTCTCAAGTTCTAATCTTCCATATTCTTGTGACTTCTCTTTTTTCGAATTTATTTCACTTTGACATACGTCTCGAATCATCTGTTCGATCCGTAATCTTTTCCATTACTACTAGTACTGCCACTAATTCTACTACTATGTGATTTGAACTGACAACTCGATCTCTCATTGTTAATGTTGCATGGCAACTTGAAGTGATGTACGCGCGTACGAAGTTTTACATCGCAACTGACCAACTCCAAACTTCTTAAGTACAATAAACGTTTAATAAAAAATTTGTATGCAATACCTTTAAATTCTGCAATTTACTTAGTTCTCACGACAATGTCTGAAGAGACGGTGTAGCTCTGTTTGATCATCTCGGTAAGCAAACTCGATCACTAACATCTAGGCAGCAGTTACACTCAAACGGTTTTTGAACCCTTCTCTGATGATTGATACTCTAAAAAAAATGCAAATCCAGTATTATTGTTTGTGCAAATTTAACTATACTTTTGGTTTGTTGTGTTTTTAAAATCTTTGGAACAAACATTCTTTATAATTCAATTTTCTTCAATTTGTTCGCATCATTTTGTTAATCACTAAAATCAGCACCAAAGCTTTCGGATCAGACTGACTTAAGCTCTAACAAAAAATAAATTTTTGCACTAGCCTTCGAACAACCTTACTTGTCATCTGATATAAATAAATTCAACCATTTTGTTAATGCTACTTTGACAAAATGATGCTGACTTCAGACTTACTGTTTCATCATCACACTTGAGGTAAAACAATGCGATAATTTAATCTATACATTTTGAAATACTTGATGATTTTTAAAAAAAATCAAGGTTCATCCACTTCGTAATCAGGTTTTCTTTCGATGATAATTTTGCTGCTGTTTTGGTTTTCCATGACATTTTAGTTTTAAGAAATCAAAGGAATTTATATGGTATCATTTCTAATTAAGAGTAGTTTCAGTGTGAACATCCTAAATAGCTTTTTTGATATTTAGACTATATATATATATAATGTTACAATCTGAATATAGTTTTACCTTTCTTCTTGCTAATATTCTTATACCAATAATCATTAACACTATTCTAAAAAATGTACTTATTACCGCTACCAACATATTCATTTTTGCTTTACATAGAAAAAAAAAGTTATTAGTCCTATTAAATTTTATTGTTGTTATCAGTGTATAAAAGTATATGGAGTTATTATATATCAACCGGTCTCTGGTTCATGTATCTAAATGTATTCACATTAAATTATCTATGGAATGTGGAATGTGTAATATTTTCAACTTAACGACAGTTGTTTGTTTACCTAGAAATTTACTTCTCTTATTTTTCTAATCGATCACATAATTATCATTTTTTCTTTTTTTTTTAACCTATCAACTTTTGTTTAATTCGAAATTCTTCACATGTTACTTACTATTGACTATTGGCATTGTAAAATTTGACTTTTTTTTTCCAGTAAATTTTAGAAATTTAAGTACAATTCATAGGTACACAAATCATTCTGTAGTTAAATTGGCTTCAATTTTTTTTATTACTAATCACAATTAGTTAGGCTTCTAACCGTACCCTTTACTTAATTTAATCTAAACAGCTAAGTGATGCTGTAAGCTCGCTTAAATAATATCTACTTCACTGTGAACATGTAAGTGCCTCATGAGTTGTATTTATTTGATATTTTATGGCTTATCATCACATATATATATATATATATATATATATATATATATATATTGGATAAGTCACATAAATAGTTTTTAGCATACAATAAGTAGTCAATTTGTTTGTTTATTCACTGATTGGCCAAAATCATATTTTCATCTTTTTTTATTTTTATTTTCTTCAAACTCAGGAGAACAAAGTTGAAAAATCTGATATGAAAGTTGACAATGAACAGTTGAATGATGAAAAAGCATTTGAAAAAATTTTCGACCAATTTCTATATTCTGATCATAAAACAAACAATAAACAAGCACTTGATAGTCATAATGGTGGTAATGGTAAGGATTTTCAATAATAATGGGTTGTTTCTTCTCTCTCTCTCTCACTAAATGGAACTATTTGTTTGATTTCATTAAAAATCTATGATAAATAACAATAGCCTCTATTCTTTAATGATTTTTATCCTAAAAAAAACATTTTTCCAGTAATTAAAGATTTTCATATAGTTTGAATCTACTATGTGTACCACCACTATGGGATTTGAACTGACGATTGCATCTTTGTGCTAATGTGGTATGACAACCTGAACTGATGTATGCATGTATGAAGTTCTGCGTTGTAACTAACTGACTGACTGACTGACTGATATCGTTTGAATACTCTCACTTATGATTAATTTAACCTGACCTACGTTTATCCTAAATGAATGTTTTCAAACATAAAGTAATGCTGTTTTGTTTACTATAAAGCAAAGTCAGTGTAAAAATTGAAAACTCAACCTTGTTACTGATAAGTTCATAGTTGAATTCTTAGCTTTTCATAGTAAGGAACTGGTTAATATTTGAATGCATCTGAAACATTACCCAAATTAATACTATATAGGTAGGTTGATTATGTGTGATAAGTCATACTCCACTGTATATACAAAACAGAGATATGATTATTTCTGTATGTGTAATCACTACTTCCAAATTATTCTATCTTATCTCGTGTTTATTTTTAAAAAAAACGGTTATTCCATTCATCACTAATATTAGAGAATTATCCACTCATACGCATGCACAACAAATACTCAAACTAAAGTTATATGAACTTTATTTTTACTAGTTGTAAAGTGCATTATTATTATTATTCCCTTCAAAATATTCTACATTTTTGACAAAACACTTGTGTTTATCTCCATTTCCATTATTCAGAAATTCCTAAATGTCCACTAAAGTCAATATTTTCCTATCGCTTCATCTTTTCAAATTTTGCTTGAATCGTATGCGATGACGTGTTTTATAGATATAGTAGTGCATCAGTAATCATCACTCTGATAGCGAATCAACGATTCCAAAACACAAGAGGCTTCACGTATTCAGTGTTTTTACCAATGTACACGAAGTGACCAGTCATCCTACTCTTCGATAATATACATATAGTCTTTACGACCCTCATCGATACATATAGTTAAGCCTCAACATTTAGATTTTATTGCGTAATTGAAAAGTATCACTGGAAATATTGATTAGTCAACCAGATATCCTAACCTTAATGAATCATTAGCAGATGTTTCTTGGCCGAGCTAATTTTTTCGGCTGTCTTATTATCTGAATATTAAGAATGGAATTAATTAATATAGAATTATTATGTAGTTTTATAGTTGGTTTCAACTATTCCTATTTTATATCATGAATTATGTTACTTGTAAACTTTTTCTTTTCAGATGCAAATATTCTTCTGAATGGTTTAGACAATGGTATTTCAAAAATTCCTGAATACTATGATGGTCAGTCTATTTCTATTTTATATTCTAAATGTATACACATCTATTTATTAATATATTTATTCATGTATTTGTTATAACTAAACTCTGAAAACTGTTTCACATTCAACAAAGTTATCGTTTCTCAGAGATGGAACAAGAAATTCACTTATACGACCAAAAATGAGAATATTAAAAGGATTAGTTCAAATGACACAATATATATTCGAAATTAATTTATTATTTCCCAATGTATGCTTTGTAGGAGAACTAACGATGATTTAAATGAGTATTAAAACTATATCTCCAAGATCCGATGAGGACAGTCATAAAATATATATTAATACCTACGTTTTGTTTCACAGTGCCGATCTCTGAACTGATTCTTTTTATTTTTCATTCAATCTCAGTTTCAGGAATTAGTATTCACTTCGTTCGAACATCTTGGCGTTTGTAATATAAAGATTAATCCAGCTTTCCAAATTGTTATTAAGTTGACACAATTACCTTCAACAAAAGAGTTGCAGAAATATTATCGTACAAATATTTCACATAATTCCAGTTGTTTACTAGTAAAGTGACTTCCAGAAACTTCATACAACTATTTATCTAGCTTCGATACATTCCTCAGATTGCAAAGAATTTACATCTGATGACACTAGCTGCAATGCTTGTAAATTGTCTTGGGATGTACACTAAACTCAACTCAACACAACAGTACCTCTATTCATCTAACGAAACTGGACAAGTTAGCAGCGTAGCCATCAAAACATACTCTAGGAGTTTGAACAGTGATATCTCTTGAATTATTGTTGTATTTGACTGATTATGTACGTCTTACTCAGACATCAGCATCATCTTTATTATTCAATATAGCCGCATGTATGTGCCTATGTTCCTTAACAGAAATAAGGATTGTTGAAAATGAATTTACTATACAGTATTGATCTTCCAGTCGTTAGCTAACCAGTCCAACACTGCAACTATGATGCGTTATTGTTCAACAAAGATCTAAATAACAAATGTATATTTCAAATAACTAGAATGTTTAAGTAGACCGAATTAACTAGATATCGGTAATGATTATAGGTTTTCATAAGCCTAAGTAATACCCAACCCTTACTTAAAATGAACAATAAGTAGCAAGTGTGACTAATGATTTATTATTATTCAAACACTAAATGTGTGACTTGATATCAAACTATAAGTTTAATACTAATAGTGTTCGCACCATCATAATCAACAATTATAAAGATTCGGATCATATTCGTCCAAACTTCTGTCACGTTATACAGCTGTTCAACCGAAGGACAATATAGTTTATCAGCTGTTGACGTAATTTTTATTCTATTGATCGATGTGATGTTAGAGTGGTTTATATGATATCAAACTCCTAAGTTTAGAATGCTCTTTTTTGCGGCGTGCTGAAGAGAGATGCGTATAGTTAGATTATTTCATTCCTTGTTGATGTACTCTAAAGAGGGAGTGGAAACCTGGAATCACTGGAGATCTTCATTAAGCTCGTTAGTCATGCACAAGGAAACAATTAATAATTTTTGCCGTTTAGCTAACCAGTATATCGGATCATATTTATGCTATTACACACATGATCACATGGTTTTATTTTAAATAAAGAATACTTAGTTTCTAAAAATACCATGTTTGTATTCGACTCATTTTAAAGTAAATTGTCATTGAATACTTTTAAAGATGTGTGATTCAAAACACTGATAAATTAAAAAAACATAACTTATGTCTTTATCAATCCTAATACTAAATGTCGGCCAATCAGCAAGCCACAACGCAGAACTTCGCACGTGCGTACATCATTTTAAGTTGCTATAACACATTAACACAGAAAAATCAAATTGTCAATTCAAATCCCATAGTAATAGAGGTAGTGGCAGTACTAGTATTAATAGAAAAGATTACGGATCGAACAGATTATTCGAGACGTATGTCAAAGTGAAATTAATTCGAAAAAACAGAAGTCACAAGAATATGGAAGATTAGAACTTGAGAGAAGACAAAGTAATGGGTCCATCTGTGTCATTGAAAGCGATTTTGGGGCATATCATTCAACAACTGGTAATTATCTCACCTCGCGGACCCCAACTAAACAGTCAACACCTATTATCACTGCTCAGCTCAATTGTCATTGAATTCATGGACTGGTGCCATGTTTTGGTGTGACTAACCCCAGCTTCCTTCTAGCCTACCCGTAAATAGCAAAACATCGCCCGTCGAGGCATTTGGCAGTTAGGAATACATAACACGCGTCCCAACCACATCAACCGATGAAGAATCACTACTTCATCAACTGTTCTGTCAGCCTTATCTATTAACTTCTTCTTAACACTGGCATTGCTTACTCGGCGGTCCAACGATATATGAGCAGAGCTTTGATGACACCTATGATCGAACACTGGTAACCTACGATTGTCATCTATGCTTGATGGCCATGTTTCACACCTGTGTAGTAGGACGGAGTGATACGCTGAGCTCGACTACTTCACTCCCTATCATTAATTCAGCAGCCAACACAAGCTAATCTTGAAGTGGTATTTTGCATCTTGAGGGGGGAAATCGTATCCCGAACATGCTAGCTATGTTGCCTAAGGTGGTCAGAAGACTCAGCATTTTGTCAACGTCTTCACCAAACAGAACTATGTCATCGGCATATTTCGAGTCAACTAGTGAGTCTCCTGGTAGAAGGTCAACTGATAAATGAGTGAGGTACTGCGGTTCTCAGGATCGGTTGATTGATGGTGTATAAATCACGTCTATCAAGTCGATAAATATATTCAAAAACAAAACAGACATTCACCTTTTTTAGCCTTGTTGCTGAACTAAATGAAGTTATATAGACCGCAGTCCAGAGACTTATTTCAAACTTTTCTTACCAGTTACTTCCTTTCGATAATGCATCATCTCTACATATGCTGGTTTTCTGAGGGAAGCACCTTATTGCTATCACATTTCTCTACAGTCAGAAGTACTCATCCTGCCTCTGAGCTTCAGCAGCTGCTTTTAGTCTCATCGTTCTTCAATCGACCTGACTGGCATGGTAAGACCTAAAGCAACATTCATTCCAGTCAATGTAGCTCAGTTGAGTCATCATGGTAAGCAAGCCCAACCACCACGTCAAATTAGCAGCTACAATTGCGAATACTATTTACTGAGATCAATAATGTCATTAAGGAGATTTCCCTTCAACAACTTTACGATACATTTTATGAAATGCATTGAAGAAAAATCCTTTTTCTGACTTTCTTGTTTTCCTTAGTGAATAATTCAATTCCATTTGGTCATATGTTCGTTTATCTTTCGATTGCCTGGATTGTGGTTTTAGGTCGTTGATGGTACTAATAATATCGAAAGTTGGGATATTGAGATTTATTCACTTAATTGTTGAATTACGTTAGATAGTTTTTGTGTTTGCAAAATTCATATGTTTCCATAAAAGTGACGTTAAATGGAAGTCATCTAGTCAATAGTATGATCAGGTTGGATTTAGTAGCTTTGACGACACTCTGTCATTTGTAAAGTCAACATAACTTTCAGCAATCGATGAGCTAACTGAACAAATTCAATATAGTGAAACATTACAAATTTAATGAAATAGACATTGTGTATCACCGGATTCTAAATTAGTTATTTAAGAATGTTGTACTGTTGGTCGGGTCCTGTAGATTTTTGGTTTGATTACTTAAAAGATAACTGATATGTTACCTCCCTGATTAGCTAGTTTCTTATTAGAAAGAAATAACTATTTAATTGATTTCTGGTTTCTTAATGGTTCTCTTGTTGATGTTGCTTCGTGATAATAAAATAATTTAGTTAATCTGAATTTAGATTGTTAGTCTACAGGCATGAGTCGTTATTGATCACACCGTAACAAGCGATATTATCATTCATGAGATATTCGAAAGTATACATTTATTCGTAGTATTTTTTTAGCCCTACATTTTGTACACTGATGTATTTCTGGTTTTGTTATTGTTTGTTTACTTCTACCGTTGTGTAAACACCATTACTTTACTTTTTTTCAGATAAGTTAAATAATATAGACGAACGGTTTAATATACAAAATATTGATATGTTAAAATCATCGGAACCTAATAATTCAAGCGAAACTCAAGGTTAGTAATATTTTTTACTGTTTTCATATATATTTCAGTGATCCCACCGTTTTTCAATGATAACTTATAGCCGCTCTACATGTGTTATGGTACTTGATTAGGGTAGCTTTTCCAAATGTGATCGATTCTAGTTGATGTTATTGGAAAATATTCAGTACATACTTCTATATGAACCTCAGATAATTCAACAACTTCTAAAACAATTTTTCCTTAAAATAATAAGATGTGTTTATTATTTTGAGCAATAAGAGAACAGAATCATCTCTTTTTAATAGAGGTTTAATCTGAAACTTTAGCTTGACGTTACAGTGATAGAATAGTTATTTCAAAAGACGGCACTCATATTTTCTAATTTCTTCATAACACGGCTACCTTTGATGATTTTAACTAATATCAATCAATCGATCAATCAACAGCAACGTAGAACTTGGTACGTACGTACATCAGTTCAAGTTGCCATACCACATTTACACAGAGATGCAATTGCCAATTCAAATTCATTAGCAGTAGAGGTAGTAGGCGTATTAACACTTATCGGAAAAATTAGGGTTCAAAGATATTATTCAGAAGTAGAATCTAGTGAAATAAACTTAAAAAGAAAAACAAAAAGTGATGAGGAATTAAGAAGTTTAGGATTTGAGAGAATACAAAGAATGAATGCACCTGGGCCACTGTAAACGGTTTTGAGCCATGTCACTCACGGTCTCTAATCATTGATTACTATCATCTCGTGGGCCCCAACCAGGTAGTCGATACCTACCTACATAACTTAGTCCACTTGTCAGTGACTTCATGGATATCATCCATCTTAGATTATGTAATTTTTCAGTCATAATAAATGAGAATAAATCTGTTATTCACGTTAATGTTTGGTGTTTTTGAGCTTTTACGAGTAAAATTAATAAAATATTTTTTTTTCAAGAACATATAAAGTACGTTCTTACGTAGTATGTACTTCTGTCTGTATATTTAATTTTACTGTTTATATTTTTAGGACAACATGTCATCACAAATGATGAATCTCATAATGGACATACATCTGTTCAGATAACTGAAAGTATTCGACTTTTCAATCAATCAAATCAGTTGATCAAATTACTCCAAGGTATGAATAAATACTGAGTAGATAGTGATTTACTTCGTAATACCTTCCTACTTATTTTCAAAAACTGAACTATACTTTAGGTTTTTTGTCATCTCCAAATGGTATAATTGATAATTAAGAGCTTCATAGAAATCCTTAGTTGATTCAGTATGAGGATCGGTTGGTGTTTTCTCAAACTCCTTACATGGAACAAATAAAATGTAGTACGATACACTGTAGGGATTATCTAAACCCATATTTAAGAAATATGTAGTTGCATTTTAGGATCTACTGCTATTTCACCTGATTAGTACACGAAGATGAGTTTACGACGTTCTCTGTTTATAGCTCTAATCGACACATCGATTTGGTTCGTTGTGATTAACGGCAAAAGTAAATAAACTTCGGTATTATGTGTATCTTAAAATGACTGTAGAAAAAAGGTTTTATCCAATCATATACAAAGTTAACTATTTGCAATTTTTTATATCCTTTTGTATCACTCACGGTTGTTGCTCTGTTGAAGAGTGACAATTTATGATGTCCGGATCATTGTCATACTGAAAATATGAAGCTAGTTTAGTAGGGATCTATCTTTCTTACTGCGAGGATACTCTGATACACAGTTCTGTGATCACCTTTCAGTTCTTATTTCTGATAAACGAGTGTTATTTCGATGACTAGTGATAAATTACACTGTCGTACTCCATTATGACCTTGTACCTGGCAACCATTCAGAATAAGATGGGAGTTATTATTTTCACTACCAAAGTTCATGATGGTCACTATTTTTTGTTCTCAATGGTTTTTTAACTGGTTAATCAGTATGAGAGCAGTGTTTGGTGTTTCAGTGTAACGGAATATCGTTATATATGGATGACTTGACAACATGGCGTTTATCACCACATTATTTTTATAGACAGACAGATACAACGCAGAACTTCGTACGTATGTACATCAGGTTGCCATACCTCATCAGCACAGAGACTCAACTGTCAGTTCAAATCCAAGAGTGATAGTGATAGTAGAATTATTAGCAGTAATGAAGAAGATTATAGTTCGAAGATATGATTCGATAAGTATAATTCAGTGAGATAAATTTAGAAAGAGAAAGACAGAGGTGATTAGAAATTCAGAAGGTTAGAATTTAAGAGAACACAAAGAGTGGATGCATCTGCACCATTCCAAACTATTTTCAGTCATGTCATTCAAGGTCTCTAACCATTGGTGACTACCGTCTCGCGGACCCCAACCAGGTAGCCTACATCTACCAACATGACTCAGTCCACTTGCCAACGACTTCATGGATTTATGCCATGTTTTTGGTTCGGCCTCCCCTAGCTTTCTTCCATCCTACTCCTACACCACAAAACGTAGCTCGTTGAGGCAGTCGGTGGTTATTTTTTTTTCAATACATTTTAATATCAAACAGTGCAAATCTACAGCAATATTATTTTATCAGTGATGAAGTACATTGTTATATAAATGTAATTTAGATATATAAAGACATATAAGCCATCTTGAACTATTATAATTAAACATGATAAATCTAAATCCTTTTTAATCATGAATTCAGCAATGAAAATAAATACTTGATAATATCTGATTTTTCTATAAACCTATTGATTACGTAGTTAGTTATTTTAATGAGTTAATTATGCATTTTTTCCTTATTGATCATAAATTTTATTTTTTTCATGATTCATTGATTATATATATATATATATATACTTAGATGAATTAAATACTTTGAATAAAATGAAAAAATCAAATGAATCAACAACACTTTGTTTACCGGTGAATTCTGATTCAAATGAAATTGATACATTTGATTCACTTGATGCTGTTGATTCAGATAAAAATTCATTGAAAAAACTTTATACTGTTAATTGTAAAGAAAAAAACTTTGAAACTGCCTTACAACATGCTACAGAGTATGCTGCTTTAATTGCTAATATTCAAAATCAATTGGGTACAGATTTGAATTCATTGTGTTTATTACGGAATCATCATCATCATCATCATCATGATAATGCGGATATTTTTAACAGTCATAGTAAGTTTGTTTTTTTTTAAAAAAAAAATTATGTTTTATGCCAATAAGTAGATATTTCTGATTTTCTCCATTGCTTATCGAATAAATAAATATGGATATTTTATTATTCGTGAAATCGAATCGTTTCCCTTTGTGTAATTGATGCTTTTACAAGAGGGTAGTATTTGTAGTTTATATTTTGATGTCATCAGAACACACTAGCACTTTGTAATCATTTAGTTATTGTTAAATGGTTATGTACTGCTGCTATGAATATTTTATTTATTTGTACTCTTTATACAGCGAATAAAATGTTGTTTATATTGGGTCTAATATTAGAAGATTGTATGTGAAATGTGAGCTCAGTTTTACTGAGGTGTTAAATTTGCTGTATATACATTCTCAAGCTCCATACTAGTTGATAGGATTACTGGCATCTTTTTATAATTATTCAGTTGAGTGTCATCATCATGTAGTTTAAGTAGAACACTGGAAATACTTTGTATTACAAAGGATTTGTATAAACATTAGTAGTATTTTTTTTGAGAAGTGTATTTTTCGAATCATAGTTAATTTCTTATAAATAATCTATTAAATGTTAGTTTATTGAAAAAAAGTATTTTTAAACTTATCACAAAATCATCTTTTTAGTTAAGTATGGTTTAAAAAAAGTAGTACGGTAAATGTCTTCTACTGACGTAGCTTTTTTAAACGTCAATTTATGATTCATTATTTATACAAAGTGTAATAAATGTCAAGACAACTTGTTTTTATAAACGGTTCACCTAATCGTTCAACAAAAACTAAATGCATTCAATCGTTTTGTTCAGAATGGGTCATTTAGATCTATCTATATGACGATGAGGTAATGTGATGGTCTAGTGATTAAGGCGTTCAACTTTGGGTCGCCAAGTTTCAAGATTGAATCCCGCTCCACCTACATTGGTCTAGGGACCCAGGTAGCATCATTAGCTCTCACTCTTGGATTTCTAACCCGTACTGGGGTACTTGGGAAATGATTTATGGTAATATAATCATAAAACTTTTGGTTGTTCCCAGTTCCAAAGTACTTATTGAAACGCACTAAAAATATATGCACCACATAAATGGTTGAATTTCTTTGTGGCCTGAGATATTACCGGTTGTTCTAGGCGGATCCAATAAGCCAATCCCTTGAACATCTGACCTACAGGTCTAATCCACAAGGCAGTAGAGCAATGTTCGGGAATGCGCTCACGTCGTTACCAGTGACTAAGAATAGGTTTATTCGCCATCTGTGCCCTCAGGACCATTGAGCCTGTGTGCACCACTGGTTTGAAATCAGGGATTTAAACTCCTTTACGCGTATCTTCTGTATCCAGCCATTCAATTTTGATCCTTTGTACTTCGTAAACAACACCCCTCGCCGTTAGATGACAACAAATATGACTTCCTTGGAAGCGGCCATGTGAGAGCATTCGGAGACGGAGAGCATGCTCTCCCTATCCTTGACCATACCAGGGCATTTGGGAGCTAGCTGTACACTATTTGTTAGTGATTAATTGAATTATAAACATAAATCCAAATAGTCCTGAAAATTTTCAATTCAATCTTTGTAATAAGTAACCTTATAGCTGAATTTGCGACTCATTCTGTTCCTACTAACGTAAATATTAAATCTTAATATATTTCTTTTAATTTCCTCCAGTTTGTGATTCCTTGTGTTATTTCAACTGCTACTATGTCATAATTATAATTTTTTGTCTTATTTCACTTTGTACAGTGTGCTATTATTTCTTCTAATCATAAATGTGTTTCTAAATTCGAATTAAACAGTGTACAGTTTTTGTTATGTTAGTTTGATGGATAATTAACTTTTATTTTATATTTTATTTATTCATCATATTAACTGACTCTAGGAAATAACTAACCATTTATCCACTAGTTACTAACTTCTAGACAAGTTTCCAAGGGTGCTAGTGAACGTCAACCATGTTAAATGTGAAACGGACATCATTAATAGCTATGAATAAATTGCACTTAATTACACAAATTGATTAAAAGTTAAAATGTAAACTATTAGGTTTCGATCCAATATATTTAAGATAATTCACTCACCTGATATCTACTGGCCATGAGTTCAATGCTTAATGATATACTGTCTGTAAGTGTTCACTGTTGTATAGCAGATTAATTATAATCGTTCTATAACTAGAGTTTACCACTTTTTTCCAGATGATGTATGTATACCTCCGGACGAATTCAGGACGAATCATGTGACTAAAGTGGATGTTAGTCTTGGAACAGAAACACTTGCCGATCATATTCAATCTACCGAAATGGGCATCGATGAGACTACCAGCCAAAAAGTTGAAATTAATCATTTGGAAGCATCTGTTACGCATAAAGATTCACATGCAGATGATGAACTTTTAAAACTACACAGTGAGTATTGTTTATGATCATTCAGTATTTTCTTTATTTCTAATGATAAGATGATTCAAAACTGAACCTCATTTTATGTTCCATCAGAGTCACTTAGCCTTCCTGACTTGAATTTACCTACTTGCAGATAGTCTTGCTTCATTATATTTCAAAGATTAGTGTAAATGAACATCAATTCCTAGTTTTATTTATTTTACGTGATAAGAATTTCTGCCTTTTCTATTTATAGTCTCTAATACCTTATTGATTTTGTCCATTTGTAATAAATTAGCTGCAAAAATATTTAATAATGCATCTTATATTGGTTTATTAAATGTCACTTATTATCGAAATATAAGGTTATTGTATAAATAAATAAATATCATTTCATTTTTCTGTTAAACCTACTCTCTATTTGTTTTTTTTTGAAGGTGAGCTAACGAAATCCGTGAATGAAATTGAGACTTACAAACAGCTGACTGAAGATTTAAGGAAACAAGGTGAGTTTTTAAGTCTGTTGTTTTTGTTTGGATGACTTGGTCCTGGAACACAGACACACATTTAGGTGTCCTACAATAGTTGTTTTCCTGGACCTTAAGGTGGCATTTAACTCAGTGGATCGTGAGGTTCTGTGGCAGTGTATGTCATTGAAAGGTGTACCAAAGAAGTGTACACCAACATCATACAAGCTCTCTACTCGAACACCACTGGTCGATTCAGAGCCTATGGCGAACTGTCACTGGAATTATTTACTTCAAGTGGTGTCCTTCACGGCTGTCCACTCTCTTCATTCTTGTTTAAATTTGTCATAGAAATGCTCCTAGATATAACCTTATCCTCGTCTGAATTTTCAGGAGTAGACCTTCTACCAAGTTGCTCGCTTATTGATTTAGAATATGCCGATGATATAGTCCTACTTGGTGAAGACGCTGACAAAATGCAGAGTCTTCTGACCACTCTAAGCAACAATGCAAGCATGTTCTGGATGCGGTTTTCTCCCTCGAAATGCAAAATGTTACTTCGAGATCGGGTTGCATCGGCACCTGAACTAGTGATATGGAGTGAAGTAGTCGAGCGGGTTGATCACTTCACTTATCTTGGGAGTCTCATCAGTGCCGATGGCCTGGTGACTGACTAAATCTCAGCACCGATACAGAAGGCTCGATTGGCTTTTGCCAACCTGCGTCACTTATGGCGTAGGCGAGATATCCGTTTGCTGACTAAAGGACGAGTGTACTGCGCAGTAGTTGTCTTACTTTATGGCTGTGAAACATGGCCAGTGAGAGTAGAAAATATTCGTCGGTTACTGGTTTTCGATCATAGGTGTCTTCGAAGCATTGTTCGTGTATCCTGGGACGCCCGAGTGAGCAACGCTGTTATTAGGAATCGGGTGCTAGGTAAGAATGGCAGATCAATAGATGAAGTATTGAAACTTCATCAGTTTAGGTGGTTGGGACATGTGTTACGTATGTCTAACCACCGACTGCCTCGACGAACTATGTTTTGTGATGTAGGAGTAGGTTGGAAGAAAGTTAGGGGCGGCCAAACCAAAACATGGTAGAAATCCAGGAAGTCACTGACAGTCCTAGTACAGGCACTCAAGGTTTTTTCAACGACGGTCTTGCATTGTTCTGTTCACGATTTCATTGAAACTCAACAATCTTCACATCTCTATACTCGATAGTTGTTTATTTAGTTCTTTTATTTCTAGCAAGTGTATAAAACCATTTAGTTTGTATGCAACTTGATGTGTACTTTCAACTTGTATCTATTCATATCAGATAGCTGTCACAATGTTATTCTATACAAAATTTATTTGAGTATATAATTACTAGTTGAAATTAATTTCATAACATTTCTAATCTAATCGTTTTTATGATATGATAGTGTATATCTTTTTTTTAATATATATATTCCTATTTTGTAGATGCCGCTAAAGCAGAATTATTGTTATTAGTTCGAGGAGAATGTGATACATTAAAAAATCGAATAGCTGTAATTGAAACGGATGTAGCCACAAGTCGTGCTGATCACCATCGTCTAGTATCTGAAGCTAGAAGAGCACAGACAGAAGCTAATGAATTGTTACTTGAACGTGACAATTTATCAAAACAAGTAAGTCATTCTACTATATAAGCAACCTTATTTAATGTGTGTGATATAGCAACTTGGACTGATGTACATACGTACGAAGTTGTATGTTTTGACTGACTGAATCTTATTTATGTTTAGTTATATACTGTTAAATAATGATAATTTGTATTTTGTTAACCCTTATTTTTTTCATATTCAAAATACACATTTTCTTTGAAGCAGCCAAGCAAGCAATGCTATAATTTGGGAACGAGTACTAAGTGAGGATGGCAGGTCAATTGATGAAGTATTGGAGCTTCATCAGTTGAGGTGGTTGACTCACGTGTTACGTATGCCCAACCAACGACTGCCTCGACGAACTATGTTTTGTGGTGTAGGAGTAGGTTGAGTGAAAGCTAGGGTCTGCAGAAATCCATGAAATCACTGACAAATGGACTGAGTCATGTTGGCAGATGAAGGCTACCTGTTTGGGGTCCGCGAGATGAATATCACCAATGGTTAGAGACCTTGAACGACATGGCTCAAAATCGTTTGCAATGGCTCAGGTGCATTCATTCTTTGCATTCTCTCAAATTCTAACCTTCTGAATACCTCATCATCTCTATCTCTCTTTCTAACTTTATGTCATTGAATTATACCCTAATCTTCTCCATTACTGCTAATACTTCTACTATCGCTCCAACTTTTGGATTTGAACTGATGTACGTAAGTACAAAGTTCTGTGTTGTATCTGTCTCTGTCTGTCATGATTGATCGCACTTTAAGTTGTTGTTTAATCATCAATACTTTTAAAGGTCTATTTACATTAAAAATATAAATTTCGAAATTCAGCTGTTTAATATAAATAATAATATATCTGAAATATTTCACTTTGTATTGATGCTTTTTTTCTGAAAAAAAATTCCTGCTAACTTGTCAATAATTCACAGCAATAATTACATGTGTTATGTAAATAATAAATTTTTGTTTTTATCCAAATCAACTAATGTACATTGTAATTTTGCACTGATTTTATTTTATTTTTTTTGCCCTAACTAGATTTATCTTGTTATTGTTGTTGTTTTCTTTTATTCACTAATCATTACTTGTAGCTAAATTCTGCTAATAATCAAATAGAACATTTACAAAAACTTCTTGCCACTACACTTTTGGGTGATAAGGTCACATCATCGAATTCCAATAAGAATACTATTTCAAATGAAATATCCAGTATGAATTCTTCTTTAACTGATAATCTTTGTTCAACTAATCAACGTCCTAATAGAACCAGTAATTTACCATTGCATGAACACTGTGTAAGTTGTTTCTGTATTTTCCTTTTTTTAAAAAAAAATAAAAGTTCATCTGGTTATTTGGGTTTGAAATAGTCTACTGTTAATAATAATTTTGATTGATATTACTGATATGCTAGAATGCTATTACGAGTTCACTTTATTCGGTGAACGGAACGAAAGCAATGACACAATAGGCTATTCTAATCCGTTTGTCCCTAGCCCGGCTAACTAGGTCAAGAAGTCTTGATAAGGCTTAGAGAGAGTGTATTCTACAAGCACTCAGAAAATACGAGTTGTCTAAGCACACAAATCAAGTTTATTTATACAATGACAGAAACGCCCTAAGGGAGAGCCATAAAGATATAGCGCACTATAATAATCCGTCAATCAATGACAATCAAGGATTTCCGAGTGGGATTGTGTCTCTTGACGCAAAAACATAAAAAAATTCAAAATTTCAGAATAAAATTTACAAAATTAGGACCTTTTCAAGTGAGTTCTTAGGGATCTAATGTCCCCAACAATTACTCAGTTAGTTCTGTGATATTTCTACTTTTCACCTTGTGTGACAGTATTGACAATAAACTTTGAATAGATACATGAAGAAAACATGTTTCATGAAGAAAACAAGATAAGTGGTCTTAGTTTCTTTCCTATTGTAAGTGACTATTGTAAGATTTTTTTTTCAAAAATTCTGAACGATTTGTTTCTGTTCTTTTGTTTGTTTTTCTTGCAGTTCTCATTATTTGCTGTTATTCCTGTTATGCTAGTGATTTGTGCATTCATGGTATATATTTTCTTAAAATTTGTTCGATGACTATTTGAATATACAATTGATATGCAGAGTTGACTGCTCCATCTTGATCTCCTGCTGTTATATAAAAATTATTTACTAGTAAAATAACGCGCTTATAATTCATCTTGAATCATTTTGAAACCAGTGAAGGCAGTTGAATGTAGAAAAACATGTGTTCATTCATATTTCAGCGAATTTGTGAATTTCCAACTGACTACACTATACTCGCATGAATATGTACTGTTTATCTCGGGGATTATTGATCTTGGTTCAATTTACAATCAATTCTTTAACCAAGTAACATCAGCCTTTTTACTTGTGTATTACCTCTCTCTACTCATCCAATAAAAACACCTGTTTTCTTTATATACATATATATATCTAGCTGATATATAAATCAGTTTGTTAATTATTGTACATTTGATCCTATGAATTATCAACGGTTAGTTTGTTTTTTTTTTTCACCCCTGTCTGTAGTTAATTTTTAGAGATTTACACAAAAAAAACCGCTTTTCAACTTTGCTCTTCTTATCACACTAGTATCATCATTATTGTAATGTATTTCCTGTTATCATAATACATTTTGCTATTCTTTTTTTTTTAACACAAATAAACGGCAATTTCACTGGTTATATATATATATATATATATATATATATATATATTGAAGATGTGTTCTATCTCTGGGCGATATTGTTGAAATATATATATATTTTTTCTGTATATATCTTATATATATGTAGAGATTTGTATTTATCAATTCTATTATAGCCCCTGATCTCTCTGATAACATTATCATCTTGCATTCTTTCCTCTTCTTTTCATTATTCTTCTTCTTCTTGTTATTATTATTGCTATTATCCTCCTCCTCCTCCTCATCGTCATCGCCATCATCATTAACTGCATGCCTTTATTTCTCACGGGCTTTCCATTGTTCTCTTCTTCTTCTTCTTACATCTTAATGTCCAGACATAAATATTATCGGTTTTTTTTTAAGAAAGAAAAAAATTGCCTTTCTCGTTTATCTATTTACTACTGGTCAATTTACCTAATTCTCTCTCTATATATATATACATATGCTATATTATTAGGCAAATACAAATTGCCTAATAAATGTTAAAGTAGTAGACTTTCTCATTTCTCTTCTTTTTTTTAAAAAAAAATTTAGTATATAATTGCTGTTATAAAAAAAACACATTTCTTTCTATAATTTTGTTTTGATAATTGTTAATTTGTTCTGTTTGTTTTACAGCTACATTTTTCACAACAACAACAACAAAAAAAATAGTGCATATTAATTTAGAATGATAGAGAGAGAGAGTTCACTTTGAGTAATGTGAAAGAATGCGCATATATATATTTATATATATACATAATGTTCTATGAATAAATAACCGATTATGAATTTCGTTTTTATTCGAATAGCATGTCTTCTTACATGTTGACAAATTCTTTACAGTTTTATAGCTATTTTCTATAAGAGAGAGAGAGAGAGATATGAAAAAAATTGAGGCTTTGATAAATCATCATCACACACATATATATATATATATATATATATATATATATATATATATATATATACGATGATTATTCCATCTACTTATTTGTATCATGAGAATTGTTGGGTTATTGGAAAAGTTTATGAATAATAACTGAAATAATTAATGTAAGCGAATTTTCAAAGCTTTTCTCCTGTTATTCAATATCTTTCATCTTTTCTTCTTTATTTTCGTCAAATCTGATTATGATGCTTTCGACTTTCGTAATAATATTATAGAATAAATACATATTGGCTTTTGTATGTGCACACACAAAATGGTTACATACTTTCTTGTTGGCTTTCTTTGGTTGCCGGAAACACCTCTACCATAATTTAAAGTTTGTATGTGTGCTTCGATAACTTGCGTTTGTATTATTTTGTAATGAAATTAATGTGCCCGCATATTATACATATATATATTATATATATCTTACTGTGAAAATTATTTTATAAGTGACTAAAACAATTAGAAGGTTATAGTCTATCACTTTGTTATTTCACCTATCAATATTCATAATAAAATTGACCATCATATTTCACACTTGTTAAATTCATTCATTCATTCATTGTAAATAATTATCAAATTCTATTGAAATTGATTTACACAACCAGATCCAACCAATCGCATTAATCGTTCAATTCGTAAAAAAAATAAAATTAGTATGCTTCATTGTTCAATAATAATAATAATAATAGGCTTCTACACTTTTTTTTTCCTTTCCAAATACACATTTAGTACAGATAGATGCTTGTTATGTCATAAATAAAAACTTTTGATGGGGCATAATATACAGTTTTTTTTAACACTTTGATAAATTTAAGATATTTAAAAGGAATTAATAAAAAAGCAACAAATGGTAGTATACAATTTGTAATATATATATATATGTATGTAACCTTGTACTCTTCACGCTTAAAAACTTCAACAACAATTCTAACCTAAAAGGTTTGTCTTATTCATTATTGCTTAGCTTTATATACATTATTTAGTCATGTTCAGAATTACACATGTTTATTTACAAATATATATATATATATATATATATATATATATATATATATATATATATATATATACTGTTTTGCTGTCATTATTAACTAAATGGTCTTTTAGTGAAACAGTTATAATTGTTCATAGTTATCTTTTCTTTTTCTCTCTCTCTCTCTAACTTTCAATGCACATAATCATCCATTAAAAAAAGGAATTCACTAATCAATTGAATTGTTGAAGAATTTCTCATTGAATGCTAAATAAATATAATGTGATTTTTTTTTCTTTCTCTAAATTACAGATTAGATAGATCCTAATTTAATAATAACATAATTAGGGTTGATATAAAATGGAAGCAACAGTTTTTTTTGTCAGAGAAAAAAAAATAAGAATCAATGTATAATGAATAGTTAAATTATTTTGTTTGAACATTTAAAATGCAAGCAAGCAAATAGCACCGGTAGATGTGATTTCATGTTAAAGTACAACATTTTTATTTTAAGTATACACTGCATACATCATAGTTGTAAGCATTGACTTGTCTTTAGTAAAAAATAGTAGAAAATAGGTACGTTTATAGAATGATGTTGCATAGATATCAACAACATTAAGGAATTAGTATTTTGTTTTTTATGTAGGTTAATCAGGATGTTCAATTTGCAACAATATAGTAAAGGGGTTTAATGACTTATTAGATTATGGATATCCGCTCATTAAATACTCAAATAAAGTGATATTTACGCTAATTGTTATGTAACTGTCGCGACCGTAGCTTCTACCTTGACGTGGTAGTCGGATTTTTCGATGGTGATGACCCAACCGAGCTGTATTGGCTGGAACATCTGTTCCTGTATGTTCTACCATGTTAGGCAGGCTGATTGAAGAACGGTGAAATTAAAAGCAGCTATTCAAGGTCTTAGGACGAAGTCGTAGTGCTGACTGTAGACGGGGATCATAGAAATTAGATGTTTCCTTCGGACAACCATCTGCGGTTATGCTACCTTCTCACAAGGAAGGAAGGGGTTAGTAAAGGATGACCCTAGAAATGTCACACTTCACCTTACCTCATGGATTCTCGTCTCCGATGGTAAGGCCTTTTCAAAATAGCGGAGTTAATATTTCACAAAATTCTTATAAAAATGCCGTGCGTGATGGGCCTCAAGTAGTTGTCCCTTGGACTCTGTGGTCACGCCAACTTGTTCAGGCCAATACAAATCTACCTTCGTTTTCAGGTTTCTCAGGAAGCACCCTCCCACAGTGTAGGCAGCCGGAAACTGACATACGCCCGCATACTCGTAACAGCACACGTGCTTGAAGTGGTCTCTATCAAATCCTTCTTACCCAATACGTAGTTGTAGCTAGTGTCATACTGAGTTCATACTGTTTGTCGACCTCTATTGATCGCGTGGCAGTGCAGTCATTAGTCTAAATAGCTTTTGAGGAGTTGACCTAACAGAACACTAGCTTGTTGACTTAGAATATGCCAATGACATAGTTCTTCGTAGTGAAGACGCTGACAAAATGCAGTCTTCTGACCACCTTAAGCATCAATGGTGGCATGTTCGGGATGCGATTCTTCCTGTCGAAATGCAAAATGTATGGGCACCTAAACTGTTGATAGGAAGTAAAGTGGTTGAGCGCGTTGATCGCTTCACTTATCTCGGGAGTCTCATCAGTACTGATGTACTGGTGTGTGACAAAATCTCAGCACGGATACATAAAGTTCGATTGGCTTTTGCTAACCCTCGTCACTTTTGGCGTAGGCAAGATATCTGTTCGCTAACCAAAGGACGAGTCTACTGCACAGCAGTCCGCTCCGTCCTACTATATGGCTGTGAAACATTGCCAGTCAGAGTAGAAAATATTCGTAGGTTACTGGTCTCCGAAGCATTGCTCGTGTATCGTGGGACAACCGAGTAAGCAATGCTCTAGTTGGGAAACGAGTACTAGGTAGGAATAGCAAGCACGGTTAGGATGCATTTGTCCCTATCCCAATGCAAAATGCAGTAAAGTAGTTGCATGTGTTGACCACTTCATTTTTATTGGAAGTCATATCAGCCCTGGTCTATTGGTATCTAACGAAACCTCATCACAATTTTAGAAATCCTGTTATAGAGTAGGCGAGATAAGCGTTGGCCTATTATAGGATGGGTTTTCTGTATAGCATGTGTCCATTTTTTATGTGTGTACCATAACCTTTGAAAATAGAACATACTTTTGTATTACTGGTATCTTATCATAGGTGTCTTCGAAGGATTGCTCGTACCATCCGGTCAGAAATTCTAAAGTTAAATCCGGAGTATGGCCAATCAGTTGACGCGGGTAATGAATCTTTATCGAGTTAGTTGGTTGGGATATTCATTAAATATGCACATCCAGTAATTATCTGGACACGTGATAGTGGTTGGACTAAAGCTAGTGGCGACCAAAACAAGACATGGTATCAGTCCTTGAAGACACTAACTGTTGGATTTAGTCATATTAGTAGCCAAAGATAACCTAATTATTGTAACCGATGGTTAGAGACTGAATGACATTGCTCGAAATAGTTCACAGCTCTATTCACATTTTGTCTTTCCTTTGGAGACCAAGTTACTTCATTCCTTAAAATCAATTGTTATTATTATTTCACTAATTTATGATGGAGTTTCGTTCTCATAGCTGGATGTTTTGGTTGTTCTGAACAACATCAGCACAAACTTCAGATTTATATATTTTCTTTGCATTGTATATTGGATGCTTAATTAACTTTAATACTGCTACTACCTCTACTGTTTTTGACGATTCGTCTTGATAATTTTATCTGGCTATGGTAATAAGGTATTACAACTTATATTGTTGTTTACATATCTCAGGTTCTATGTTGCACTTAACGGACCGGCAATAGAGAATTGATTCCGAATTAGTGGCTGAATAATATCGTACTGTCATCGGTGGGTCATGAAATAACTTTAGGAGTAATTTTCTATCATAAGTTTATGGTTTCTATTCTCCATGGATTTATGCATAAATTGTTAATATCAAAAAATTAGCAAACTCCTAGCTGAACTTCGTTTCTCTATTTCAGTCTATTTATAATAAACTTTCCCTTAGACCAGCAACTTATTAGCCGAAAGTAAATAGTCATCTGTATTCTTTAGTAGTTCAATTTATCAAATGTCTGACGGAATTGTTTATTGTATTAAATCTAACTGAATTCATAGTACTGTTACACATTATTTTATTGTAGTTGTTTGTAAGTTTACGAATGTTAATCTACTTTATTATTGTACATGTTTAATTATTTATAAGATTTTTCCTTACAATTTATTGCTTTCCATTTCGTTAGTAGCCTAGATTTTACATTTAATTTTATTTATGATGGTCACTATTTGATGGTGTAATGTTTTAATATTAGCTTGATGATTGGATTGGGTAGCTTTGATTGTTAGGATATTCATCCAATATCCTAAGACAATTATTTGTCAATTCCTATTGGTTAATTCCTACTGGTCAATATTATGGTCGTCCTAGATATCAATGTCACGTACTTCAATGTTTTTTTCTTATTGGTCGTCCTAACTGTCAATGTCACAGACCTCAATATTGCTTCCTATCCGACCTAACTGTGTACGCATTATGTGTAACGTTTTATGACCCGGATCCCTAGTCCGGGATCCTGACTCTCTTCTGGACTCGGCCCTTGCACTTTCTGGACGCTTGTAGAATACAGGTTCTACTTCATATCAAGTTTTCTTTCACTCAATGGGGGTTGGGACACTTGAATTAGAGTAGCCTGTCGTGTCACCGGATCCTCGCTCTCGTTTTCCGACTAAGGTAAACTCGTAGTAATTCAAGCATATCAAAATTGACATGTTTACATTCATGCGTGACATTCATTCTCATTATGGACTATATTTTTTTACTGTCCATTTGGAAAATAATTACTACCCACTATTCGTATTTTGAATTGAATGTTGACCAATCTTTGTTAGCTTATTTTATGCTCTAAACGA